TTTTCCACTACTGGGAGAATTCTTGAAGAAAGAAGAAGTAATTTTCAACCTGAAAAGGTAGATATGCTTCTCTTTCTTCATGATAATTTGTGAATTTTTAATATCTTTCTTGAGTATAGGGTTTCGTCAATCATGCTGGTTTTTTACTTTGCAAACTGTCAAATATTTATTGCATTTATTATATCTACCTTGAGTCATGAAAGTTTTTAATCCAACATTTTTCATTATTTTTTTTTACAATATTATATAATACAATTATCTTCTTTTGTTAAAAATTTATATTATAAAATAAATTATATTAATATTGTGCAATTAGATTATATTTTCAAAATACTATTTATTATACATGCATTTTTTTAAATAGCGATTTATTTTTATTTTATAAATTAAATAGTAAATTAAATACAATATATTATATTCTCAAAATATTTTCCATTTTTATAAATTAAATATTAGTTTTATTTTTATAAATGCAATATAAAATATAGTATATGCTCAAAATATCCATTTTTATAAATAACAGTTTTATAATTTTTATAAATTCAATATAATATTCTCAAAATATTAGCTTTTTACATGTATTTTTTAAATAATAAGCGATAATACTCACTGAAAAATATGGTAAAATACCTCATAGGTGAATTTTTATATATACCAGGTCGAATATAATTTTAAAAAATTCCAAGCCGGGCCTAAAATTTTTAAATCCGGGCCGGGCCGTAAAAAATTTTTTAAAAAATATCCGGGCCGGGCCTTAAATTTTTAAATCCGGGCCGGGCCGGGCCGTGTAAATGGTACCTCTAGAGGTCTTTGATTTTTATAAAAAAACATCTATTTAAAAAAATAAATTACATTTGCATTGTTTAAAAAAAAATTATATAGAAAATATTATTAATGTAAAATAGAAAATATTATTAATGTAAAATAGAAACTCACTGAAACTCGGAAAAATTTATTATTTTTTAAAATATTTTTCTTTTATTTATTTTTTGAAAATATTTTGAAAAAAATTTTTTTATTAAAAAAATAATAAATATGATGTAATAATAATTCAAAGTTTCAATACTCAAAAGTTTTAAGAATTGCATTTTTAGTAAAAGGATAGGATCGGGTTTATACAGGTATCGGCCCGATCCGATATTTTTGGAAAACGTTAAATATCGGTGCCGATTCCATCCGATATTTAATATCGGCACATCCCTATATTTTACTAACAAAGCTATTGTTATGATCTCGAAATATCATATGTTATGTACCATCAACTATAATTAAAAACAGGGTTGCCAGGTGAAAATTTTCAAATTGCGGTAGAAATTTGGTATTATGCGGGAGAAATATAAAAATTGCGGGAGAAATATAATAATTGCTAAAAAAAAATTATTTGCGGGCCATCGGCCTGGATTTTGAATTGACTTAATTATCCGCCTATTATTTTTTATTTAGTTTATATAAATACAAAGTTGGTAACTATTTTTCAAATTAAAAAAAAACATCTTGATTTATTAAAATATATTAATTTATAAAAAAACCAACGATCATTTTTAAATATAAAAGAATATAAATAAGATAAAATAAAAAAAAACGATTTTAATTTTACAATTAAAAATATATTTTATGCGAATGTCCCGCAAAACGACCGCAATTTGAAATCTACCGTGTGTGTGGCTTAATTATCACGTTTAAGGTACTCCTAAAATAAGAAATAATACAGATGAAACTACAATTGCGGCAATTGTATCACTTATCTTGTAGTACAACATTCACAGAGATACTTATCATCACAATGTTGGTAGAATCTTTTCCCCATAATATTTAACGACTCTAATAGTAATGAAAACTATACTTATAGAACAAAAATGAGCAAGGCTATCATCAATGTTTTAGGACCTAAATCCAGGAGGTCAATTCTTGACTATTTGAAAAATGGGCATACATATGCAATTCTAACAGATGCATCTAATAAGCTCCGCTATTTCATCTAAATTAAGGTCTTTTCAATAAAACTATTAAATTTTTTCCCCTCAAATAGTGAAAAATCAAAAGACATAGCTAACCATATAATGGTAAATATAGCAGATTCGAGATTATCAATAAATTGCATGTCAGTTTTCATATCTGATAATGCCTCAGTGTATTTGGTAAAAACAGAGTGTATTTACAGAATTGAGTCAGCACAATGTTGGTTACGATATGTTCCTAATACCCGCCATCGATAGAATTTTAAAATTTTGTAAACCTTTAAAAATATATTTCTTAAATAAATATTTAATATTATAAAATCTGTCCTAATATTTTGAAAATTTTTTTCAATAATGAATGGCAGAGGTATATTTAGAAATGATTTCACATGTAGGAAATCTACTACATGCTGTTAATGTGTAGTTGCAATCAGAATAATCTTAACAAAGATTCACAAAATTATGCTGCAGATGTGTTCATCTTTACAGTTAAAAATTGACAATAAATTTTATGGCGCCTTTGCTAAAACTTAATTATATTTTATTTGAGATTTAAATAATAGAACTAAATGTTTACCGTCGTTATTGAGATATTTATAAAATTCCTGGCATGACATATACATTTGTATAACCATTAGCTCGGCCTCTAATGTTAAAGCAATTCGATTTCTCTCCTTTTTCCCGGCAGTCCTCATCAGGCTAAAATGCGCTCGGATGAGGCATTAGAATGAGGTAAGGAAAATAAATACTCGCATATTTTTTCCAAGCATGGGGATTTATCGTTATTACGAAAATATTCTACCCATTTCTCCTCTGCTTTTAGACTATCTAACTTTAAGTATTTTGGCGAATCATAAAAAATAGAGAGAATTCAATTTCCTCAAACAAGAAATCAATGTCTTTCGGTATTTTTAATATATTTATTAAATCATAAAAACCATCCATTGATGGTTTCTCTTCCAAGGTTATACATTTGTAAATAGAGTTATTAAAATCAAATTTTGATTGTAAATATTCTAAAATTGTCATAATAAAAATATCTGCTTTATTTAAAAATGTATTAATTAGAGTATTATTTGAACATTTTAATATAATATTTTTAGCAATAGCTCCATAAAATTTATTATCAATTTTTAACTGTAGAGATGAACAGAGCTATAGCATGATTTTTATGAATTTTTTTTATAAAGAATATTCTGATTGCAACTGAATATTAACTGCATGAAGAAGATTTCCTACATGTGAAATGAATCCCAAATATGCTTCTGCCATTTCATACTCGAAAAAATTTTTCAAAATTTTCGGACAGCTTTTAAAATCTTTATTTAAGAAGTATTTTTTTAAGGGTTTGTAAAATTTTAATATTCTATCGATGGCAGGTATTAATGACAACCACCTGATAGGTATATATCGCAACAACTCACACCATTCCAAGTCAAACCACTTCACCAACTCTTTTAATTCATTAAATCTTTTAGTTGATGACTAAATTCGTTAAAACATTTCATCACAATTATTTCGACATCCACAGATAGTACATTTATTGCCTTGTAAGAATTATGTAGTATGATATGGCATATACAGCCAATTGGTATTAATTCATTATTGTTCTGCCTCAATTCGGTAACTTTGGTTTTTGCCAAAATCTACAGAGGCATTAACAGCGCAGAAAGCTGACATTCAAATCATTGATAACCCTGAATCAGCTATATTTACCATTATGTGGCTAGCTACATCGTTGGATTTTTCACTATCCGTGGAAAATTTTTTAACAGTTTTATTGGAATGTTCTTATTCTTGTTGAAATAGCGAAGGATCGAGGGAAATGTTTTAATATTTCCCTTATTAGATGCATCTGTTAGAATTGCACATGATGCCTATCTTTCAAATCGTCTAGAATTGATCTCTAGGATTCAGGTACTAAAACACTTGTGATAACCTTGCTCATTTTTGTTCTGCCACAAGTAAGATTTGCACTTATATAGGAGTAGTTAAATATCATGAGAAAAAGACTCGACCCACATTGGGATGATATAGCTCTGCTAATGTTGAACTACATGATAGATGTATACCATTTCCGCAAATGTAGTTGCATCTGTATTATTTATTATTTTTGAGAATATTTTTGTATTGCAATCAATGTTGATATACTCCCCTGTACTGACTTATATGAATGAAATGATGTTGATTTATTATTGGATAAAAATAAACCAGGATAGAAAGAAATTTACAAACTAGACATGTTTTTCGAATAAATATTTAAAATTATTTTAAAAATATAAAAATAATCAATTAATGTCTCTCAAAATTATTATTTATATATTAAAAACGTTAAAATACTTTAAAAAAAAATTACGGGAGAAATTAATAAATTGCGGTAGATTTTTGCGGGAGATTTCCAATTGCGGTAGTTTAGCGGGAGAGAGATGTCTGCGTGTAAATTAAATAATTGCGGGAGTCTCCAGCTGATGGGGGGAGACATGGCAACCCTGATTGAAAAGCATTTGTTAGTTTCAATTTCTTTTTGAATTTTTTTCATAACCATGTTTTTCATGAAGATTGGATTTGGAATATAGTTTGGATTTTAATCCATTTTGCTTTACATCCCTTCTTTTTCTTCATTTTTTTGTATATATAATTTGAGAACATTTTGTAGAAATTTCTAAAAAAATAAAGTAACTCCATTTATTTTTAAAAAAAATTAAAAAAAATATCCCTTCCCCCCTTGCAAAGAAGCAGTTGCTTCTTACCCCCTCCATTAAAAGGGCCACTGAATTTTATGATGCTATAATATTTTACAGAACATATGAAAAATTTTGGAACATGTTATAGAGTTGATATTTTTAAAATATTTTTCCTACTCCATGCCCTTCCCAATAGTAAGCTATTTAGCAAATATTCTGGGTCCCTCTTTATGACTCATACTATTTATAAATTTTCACAGGTCAAGGTAGAAAATATACAAATATATAAATATTAATTTTATTTACATAACCATTTTAATTTCTATCCATTTTATACATACATAATAATACAAAAAAGCAAAAAAGTATTGGTAGCCCAAATACCGAAATACGACAAAAGAATAGTGTTCAAAAGAGATCTCGTTTCAGTAATATATATTTATTTTTAAATTTTATTGCTTAGTGTAAATAGTAGGGATGGGCTTATTCACTCACAAAATATAACCCCTAAAAAAATTTGTATTTAATTATAATTACTAATATTTTCTAAAAGCGGTAATTAATTAATTATAAATTACATGTAATCATTTTTATAGAATAATTATTTACAATTCCTTTTTATTTCAATTATTAAGATAAAAATTAAAATAGGATTTGATTAAAAATCATATAAAGTGATAAAATATAAATTGGTGTATAATATAATTAATATTTTATTTTTACAATTTGTTTCTTATATTTAAAAAAGGTAAAGGCTTATTATTTAAACAGATCGTTATTTAAAGCTGTTCTATTATACATATTAGCAAAGTTTTAAAGCTAATTCTACACGTGCTGATGAAGACAAAGTGTTATACATTGAAAACACTTTTTTATGAAAACTTTTTAACATGTTAATTCGATCTCTATCATCTTAAAGCACCTCAAGTTCAATGTCATTTGATTGAATTTGGAGTAGAAGTAAAACTTACAAATTTGAAATTATCATGTTTGTTTTTGTCAATCTCAGGACTTAAATATAAGTAATGTTTATTGAAACATCAGATATTATTAATGATTTTAAATAATTTTGTTAAGATATTGATTCAACCCATCTAAGCCTAGAATCTGGATGTTAAATAGTAGCCAAAAAGGCTGTTTGGTTTAAAAAATCGTGAAATTAATATTCGATAATAAGACAATTATAGCCTTAAAAATGGCGCACAAAGACGCAGTGAAGAGTTTTGCAGTTTAAAGAACATTTTTTCAGCACCAAAAAGCTTTCATAATAACAATCCTCTATCACCTGGAGAGAAACAACTTCTGAGGCAAAGTTATTAATTGAGCATGCATTTTTGAATCCTATTTAATAGTCAACGCTGCATATCTACAACAGTTGTTATTTACAATGAAACATTATATTTTATTTTAATGAGGTAAAATTATTTTAAATTTTTTTTATAACTGAAAGATAGGAACATAACATTGCAAATTTTTGGGAAATATTTTATCTTCAATGTGCTAGATGACATTGAATGTTGTTAGTTTTGGAGTTTAAAACGATACATGTTAAGGACTCCCTTATCAATAGCTCCTACAGTGGGGGTGGGATGACATTGAATGTTAGTTTTGGAGTTTAAAACGATACATGTTAAAAACTCCTTTATCAATGGCCCCTACAATGGGGAGTGGGGAGGATATCAAACATTGATTAGTAAAATTTGGGGAGTACTTTGAACCAATTGATTATACCCCATATAGTGTTATTAAACGGCTCAATTTGAACCTTTTAAAAAACGGCGAATTCAATATTTTATCCAGAGAAATATTATGCTTGCTTGATTTTTCTCACAGATGTCACAAAAGTTTGGATATTTCTTAGCGAAACTCGAGGTTTAGACAATATTTTTCCGCCGAAAATATTGAGTTAATCGTTTTAAATCGGCTTGAATCGAGCCGTTTAACAACACTACCCCATGATGGGTTTTAACTGCCTAACATCATTGCAATTTAGAAACTTCTGTATATTACATCCGGCCTTATGAATGAACATGGTTGTATAAATGAATGAGTTATGAATTATCTTAATTAATTTTGGGTATAATTTTTATGGGCAATAATTAATCAAAATAGGCAGTATTTTTATTATCAACAAATTAATCTTTTGGGCAGTATTTTTAAATTTTTGGGCAGTATTTTTAAATTTTTGGGCAGTAAAATTTATCAAAATGGGCAGTATTCTTTTATCAAAAAATAAACAATTTCGGCAGTATTTATATAATATTGCATTAAAAAAAATTAAGTTGAATTGTAACTAAAATTATAATTATATTGTACAGTATTTATTTGAAAGATGTTTAGTATTATTAATATATCAAATATGAAAAAGTTAGTGAATTAAATAAAATATCAAAAATTTTATAGAATACAGTTAATGAAAATAAATTTTATATCTAAATATTTAGTTAAAACTTTCATGTTATTTTATAACAAGAGCCTTATTATAAGTATCAAGAATATTTTATGAAAATTAACATAATTAGTAAATTAATAAATATATCACAGTTTTACATTGTGTCATTTGAGCAAATCTAAAAAGTAGAAAATAATAAATAAATGTTTATAATAATTAAAACTACATGTTATCTTGGCTGCTGGAGGAGGTTTACAGTATTTAATATTATAGCCAAACCAACAACGTGCTTACACACAAATAATTTATTAAATATGTGACAATTACAAATTCCTTTGTTCTAATCATCTTTGTTTGAGTAGTCTTACAAACCAAATGCTTGATGCTTATATTGATTAAAAAAACTTTATTCTAGATTTTTCACAAAATTTATTTTATCCTGATTAATTACTTGCAATTTATTAGCAGAAATATAGTACTCAATATAATCATCCCTGTCAATTGATAGATATTATTTTAAATTTAGCCCAGTTATAACCTGATGTAATATTTCGAAAGTAATTGTTGGATATGTCATAAACTCTTTTTGAGAAGTGGTATAGGCTAAGAGTTAAACGTTCTCTAAGAGTATTTTCATCTTTAATTACTATTGCTTGCTTCTAGTGCATTGTTGGTGCTAGGTGTAAAGGGGTTAAAACTTTCATACCATGTGTTGTTTGAATCTAGCCTTTCCATTTCAAAATATTTAACAAAGTCAGGAACTGCTGATTCCTATTTTTTAATATAGAGGCTCTAGCAAAAATGATTTGGGTTTGCGCTATTATGATTTATTGATATCATCTATAATCTCGGCTTGATGTTATTTTGGTATTAGGGAAAAATTAAAACTCCCCAAGTAAATAAAACACTGGTAAATTATTTATTAACTGACCAAAAATTTAAAATATCTGCCAAATTATTTTAAAATTACCTATTTTAAATACTGCCAGAATCAATAAAAAAACTTGAAAATTGAATATTAACTACCCAAAAATTTAAAATAGCTAACAATTGTTTTTTAAACTGCCCATTTAATTAAAGTACTACCCTTTTTGATTTATTTTCCTGCCAATTTATTAATAAGAAACTGCCCGAATAAATTTGTCCTCGTTACTTTTTCTAAAAAATAAATCCATATATCTTCTAAAGTTGATGTCATTCATAATAATAAAAAAGAGTACTAGCAAAATCAAGCTGATTAGATCTCGACTTCAAAAGCACGATGAAAATAAAAAAATTTTTTAAATACCATTTTAAGGGTACGTCCAAACTCAAAAAATAATAAAAGATATACGCATTTTAACATCATCCGTACATTGGGCAGTTAGGGATAAAATTCTTAAATCTTTATTGATTTTTTGCGTTTGGACATATCCTAAATGTATCAATTTATTTGGAATATATTAGCTGAAATATTATATTAACTTTAAATTGAAAGATTATATTTTATAGTTATATTTTATTATAAATTATAATAAATACTACCTTTTAAAATTATTTTTAAGTATGTAATTAAAGGAGGGGGGAGGGTGACTGAACACATTTTATAAATATTTGTTTATTTTTGAGAAGGGGGGTGGTATCATTTTAAGGGGGTATTTTGCTTCATAGGCTGGGAAGTGGTATAGATATCATTGTTCCTTATAGATACATTAACCTATTTTAATTAATTTGGCCCATTACTGCTTTTAAATTGATAGTCATATAATTTTTTTAGCAGTATATAAATTTTGGATGAAATAAAATGCCATATTATTTTATTATATTTTTTGGTTATAATACTTAATGAATAGAAACATTGTTTTATCATTTATTTGATTTCTATTGACAAATTTTCTCTTCTAAAAAATCATTATTTCATCATTCCTTTGTATAAAAAATTCGATGAATATGAGAATTATTTATAAAATATTAAGAATTTTAATAAATCTAACTTAAAAATACTAATTAAGTTCAAAAATAATTTTAAAACCTAATAATTTTCTAAATTTTATTTTATATACGAAAATGAACAGAAAATAAATGGGCAAATCAAATCAATATTAACAAATCACTCGACATAAAACGCGATATTATCGGTCATAAATCAATTGATTGCTCAGTCTTGACGGACGAACTGAAAGCTCTCCTCGCGGAATTGTATTACCTAAGTTCCGGGACATCCGCTATTTTTGCTTGCTCTTATGACAAAAGCGGGTTTGTTTGAAAAAAAATGAAAGAAAGGGAAGGGAAGAAATAAAGAAAGAAAGAACTGAGTTAATTGATTAAATTTTTTATATTTAATTTGGAGAATTCTAAATTTAAGTTAAATTATAATTTATTACTCTTGGTTCTAATTTTTTTTCTTTTATGAACAATTTTTATTATGTTAAAATATTTATAAAATTTATAAAATATCTGATTAAAATATTTAAAAAAGTTATAAAATAATTATTAACTCTAGAAATACTAATATAAAAAAAAAGAAAAATTATATAATGACTAATTGTGCTCCCCAAAAAGGACCTATAATTATTCGTATCACATCAATACCGCGAAACTTTTTTCGCGAAATGCATTATCGCGAATGTTGATTACCGCGAAAAGATATTATAGCGAATGCATCATAGTGAAACAGTATCGCGAATACATTAGAGCAAATGTATTACATCGAATGCATTATCGCGAATGCATCATAGCAAATGTATTAGCACGAATGCATTACCTCGAAATTATTATCACGAATGCATTACAGCGAATGTATTATAGTGAATGCAATATCGCGAATGTATTATAGCGAATGCAATATCGCGAATGCATTATTGCCAATGCATTATCGGGAATGTAAATCGCGAATGCATTATCGCGGTTGATATAATTAATATAAAGTATTAAAATTCTTTGCTACTTATCTACTTACTTTCTAATAAGGAGTTCATCATTAATATGTTTTTATTTTTTAAATATAGTGGAAACCACAAATTTGTTACCTTTTGCTGATAAAATTTTTCCACCGGATCTTTATTTCTCTAAGGAAATCTTTAGACTCTCTAATTATATTGTAACTCATTTAGCAAGTTCAGACATTTTTCAGAAAACAAGAGAACCTTATTTATTTAACGTAGCGTTTTTAAATTTTATAACTCTAAAACACGTCACTTGCTATTTATGAAATTACGTATTTTATTAAAAAATATATAAAATAGAGTATTCTCAATTTTTTTAATAATTAGATTAAGTCATTTTTTAGAAAATTTGAAATACTAATATTTGACAAAAAATTACTTAGGACCCTCATTTATTTTTATGATGCAAAAATCCATAAAATTATTAAAATAATAAATATAATTAATGTGATAAATCTATCCTTTTTTTCTTGTATCGCACCTAACAATTAATCAAATTTGATTATTTCTTGCGAAATGAAGGATTTTACCAATTTTTCTTTCAATTTTGTAAGATTCAAAAGGTTGTAGCCTATTATTTGATAATTTTTCGGTATATTGACCCATATTTTAAGGTCTTTAAAGCTTGTTGAACTGGGCGAATATTCCATCTTTTCCTAGAGAATTCAGGTATTAAACTTCATTCCAATTTTTCTTCCAATCGCATAACTTTATCATTATCAGATCTTCTCTTAATAAATTCGACTATCTACCTATGATGCTGAATATTGTTTCATGTCTTGTTGTGATAAGCTGTGACCTTGTCTTTTTGATTAAGCAATAAGAGAACTTTATACAAATTAATATTAAAATATGCTTATCAAGTCAATACTAAATCCCTCACTAATTAAAGCATGTTTTGTTAAAATATAAATTTTTTCCGAGGACTAATTATCTGTTTGGCTCAATGTTTTAAATAAGACTTTTCTTAGTGTCTTGCAAATTTAATTTATTTCAGCCAAAGCACCATCCAATATTTATTTTTAGGCCCGAGCCAGACCATTATTTTAAATTTTAGGCCTGAGCCTGTCCCCCAAATTTAATTGAAAATATAACTAAATGTATATTTAAACAATCAATTAATAAAAAATATAATTTCTTTACCCTAATCCTAGAGAAATCTATTTTATTGCTTAGAATCTTTTTTAATCCAAAGCCTTAGCCCTATTTTCAAACATTTTAGACCCAAGCCCGACTTTAACTAAGTCTGCCTAAAGGCCGATAAATATAAAATTGTAATTTTCATCAAACTTCATCGCGATATGCACTTGATGTAATTCATATAAGTTAATGCTTAGCGATTATGCATTCGTGTTAATTACGCATAAATTCGCGATACGTCATTCGCTATAATGCATTCGCGGTAAAGCATTTCTGCAATGCATTCGCGATAATTCATTCGCTGTAATTTATTCGCTGTAATTTATTCGCTGTAATTTATTCGCTGTAATTTATTCGCTGTAATTTATTCGCTGTAATTTATTCGCTGTAATTTATTCGCTGTAATTTATTCGCTGTAATTTATTCGCTGTAATTTAATCGCTGTAATTTATTCGCTGTAATTTATTCGCTATAATACATTCGCGATAATACTTTCGCGCTAATCCATTCTCTATAATATTATTTCGCGATAATCGACATTCGCGTTAATGCATTCGCGATAATATATTTTGCGCTAAAATTTTTGCGGTATTGACATGTAATTATAATTATTATATCTAAAAATTCAATTTCATTTTTTGATATAAAAAAATTCACGGGCTTCGCTTGTAAAGTGTTTAATTTTGAGGATACTGTTTTTAATAATTTAAATGTAATTGAAAAATGGTCATTTGTTGATATTACTATAGGGCATAAAATAAAATTATTAAGATTTTTATGTATGATAATTTTTTTGTTTCGGCTATAATGAAAATTAGAGTTGATATTTGAAGGGAATACCACACGCTTACTTAAATTAAGATTTTATCCCAAATAATATTATGCAAGCCTCGAGATTTCTTTCTTAAATGCCCAAATATATCTGCCATCTATGAGCAAAATTTCCAGAATTGCATAATATCTTTTAGCTAAAATATTGGGTTAGCCATATTTAAAAATCAAGCTGTTTATCAACACTAGCCTATAATCCCATATTAAAATTTTCCCTGACTTCAGGGGATCGCACTAAAGTGATCTGGTCTTAGGCCACCCCTCAGGAGCCAGGAAAACTTATATTAAAATTTTAAATATAAAAATATGATGAAATATCGGCCCGACCCGATTCTATGATGAAATATCGGTACATCCCTAATAGAAAATATTTGAATAGCCATTATTATGAAATAAAATAATATTTAAAAAAAACTTTGTACAATTTCAATATTTAGCATGATAATTATATAAATTTTTAAGAAACTCACATGATGTTTTTTATTATCAGATACATTGACTTTTCAAAAAAAGACCTAATTTCATCCAAAATCATTGAAACAATTGAGAGAATCAATAGTAAAATGGATTACTAAAACATTTTTTGAAAAATAACAATCGTTATACTTGTTCAAATTTTATAAATGTTTATTATAACTTAAATTTTATCAAATTAAAATCATTGGCGTACGCAGCGGGGGGGGGGCAAAAAATGCAGATGCCGGATTTTCAAAAATATTAATGTTTATATTAATTTATATTTGTTAATATTTATTCCTATCTCATATTAAATATATATTTAATTACATTTATTTATCACATTCATCTATTAAGTTATTTATCAATTAATTTCGATTTCAAGTTTTCATTGGCGTAATATTTACCTATTATTTTCAAATTTCTAGTGGCGTATTATTTATCTACCATTTTCATATTTCTAGTCAAATAATAATTTTTCTGAAACTCTTTGTCCAACAGGGAGAAGGAAAGTGCAAGCTTGTCCAACAAGATATCAAGCAGTAACAGCTTTTATGGAGTTAGAAGAACCGATTCTGAAATATCACAATGGCCTGAAAGAAATATTTCCTCAGAAGCAAGAAAATTATTGGATTCAATACTTATTTCAATTTTTTTTTCTCATTAGAATGTATTATTTAATTATACAACTATTTTATGTAATACTTTTCAAAAACATGACATTGACTTGATTAAGAAGATGAGAATAGCGGAGAGCATTTTATTAGAACTCAAGGAAATTAGGGCTAATGTTGATGAAGAATTTCAATTTTATATGTTATCGTTGAGTCAAAAGGAGAGCTATACGTGTTTAATATTTGTCTCACTCGATTTGCAGCAAGGCAAGCTCATCGTCGAAACATTAGTATAAGATCAGTAGAAAAGTATTATAAAACTATAATCAAATAAATGAATGGTTTTTAATTCATCATGCAGCACTTACCAATCTGCAGGTATTACTTCCACAAAACCTTCTCAACCTTTTTGAGATGGTGATTGAAAAAAAATAATATTTGTTTGATGCCTTATTAGCTGAATAACTATGTTTAAGAGATTAACTAAGATATAGTCCCAAAAAATGCTATGGATGCTTTGTATAATTTCAAACACATTTTATATTTTATTCCCAATGTATTAAAATGATTATATATATTATATATATTAGCAACTCTTCCCATTAGTAAACTAATGAGAGAACATTCTCTTTTTTAAGAAGAATAACAGAGCCCTGCAGAGATATAATTTGCAGGGCACGGCCTGGATTTTTTTTCAAAATTTTTTTTCGGCCCGGCCCGGGGTTTTTTTTTAAAGAAATTATATTTATTTTTGATTTTTATAGCTAATTTCAAATATTTGGTTTTAAAATATATAACCGAGCCCGGATAATTTTTTTAAAAAAAAATCAGGCCTGGCCCGGCTGTTTTTTTTAAAAAAATTTCGGGCCCTGCCCGGATGTATTTAAAAAATTAAAATACGATCCGACCCGGGAACCGGGCCTACAGTTCTCTGAAAACATACCTAAGAAGTACAACTTCTGAAAGTGGATTGAATGGTTTGGATCTTTTAAATATTTATAAGCATTTGACGCCAAGCAAGGGCTCAATCCCAACGAAGATTGGATTTTACATTGTAAATATAATACAAAATACAATTATTCCTAAGAAACTTTTTGTGTATTAATATTTATATTTCCAACATTAAATTTTTTTACTTTATATATAAATTTTAAAGGCTCAAAAAATTCAAATTTCTAACGCGCCTGATTAAAATATAAAATTTTTTAATTCAAAAACTGCATTTACAATGCAATATATTTATTTCAAAGAGTGGGGGTTACAAATTCTTTTTATCTATCCCAGTATTAAAAAAAAATGAAGAGTTACAATTTAAAGAAAATAACACTAAATCCGAAGAAATGAGTAAACTCAGACTAAAATTATCAAAAACAATAGGCAATTAATAACAAACCTATTTATTAAAAACCAATCCTGGAAAAATACCGAAAAAAAAATATCAAATACATTTCCGAAATAATTGATTTTGATAATCAACCGTTTCATTAGTTTGAGATATAAGCTCCATGAGATTAAGAAATCATCTGTATCCCTATCAAATTCTAACTCGACAATATTTCTCTTAATGACGCGTTGTCTAAAAAAAGATTTGCGCAGATTTAAAAAAAAATATAAAATAACAATTATCTGGAGCTGAGATTCACATGAACACCATAATCAAACTTTTTTTATTATGTAAGATTTATATAAACTAGTAGATATATTATTATTTCTTGACTTTAATGCAAAAATAAGTGAGATATGGATAAAAATTTAAGTAAAAATGTTAAATGAATGTGAAATCGGTATCCAATCGGGTTTTTTCCTGATCTATAAATATCGAATTAGTATCAGTCAAAAGAGTTAATCAATGCCGCTCGGTTTAATATTATTTGCCATATTTACTCCACATAATTTAAAATAAAGGGAAAAACCGGACGCCGCTTTGGTTAGTTTTATAAATGAACACTTTCAAGACATGGCTACAACACTAGATGGAATGAATGCTAAAGGTCCAAGTTTAAAAAAGGAAGTAGACCTTATTATAGACTATGATGACGATAATGATGCAGCTAGTAATCTGGAGATCATGAGGGGGGGAGAATCCTTCGGAGAAGAATTGAAAGTTTATATCTATTTTATAATGTTCTTTCTATGAGACCTTATATAAAAATTATAATGCTAGATTTTAAGAATTAATTGATAAATAAATAATATAAAATATTTTGAAATTTATTTTATAATCATAGATATATGAATAACAGCTTGATATTTATTCACAAAATATGAAACCAAATTTTAAATATTTTAAAAAAAATGGAATCAAGCATCCAATCTATATAATAGCATTATTAAAATATAAAATAGGATGCCATAAACCACACTTTTTAATAATCGGTTAAAGTTTGATGGGTGTTAATTTATATCTTCATACATATCTTATCAATCTTGAATTTTATATTTTCATTATAATCTCTGTCAATTCTTTTTTTCAATTTTCTGGCATTTAAAGCAAGTCCAATCAAGCTTAAATTTTTTTGATGCTTTATTGCTTCCTCTTCTTCATCAGTATCACTTAATATTAATAATTCTTTAACTAACTCAATATTTTATCCCAAAAAATGTTATGCAAACTTGAGGACTTTGCTCAGAGATGGCACAAAGGTTATGACATATATTAGCGAAATCTCGAGGCTTAAGCAATATCTTACTGGCTAAAATATTGAGTTAGCCGTTTTTTAAATACAAATCGAGCCGTTTAACAGCATTAATCTTTAAAAATTTATTATATTTATAAAGATTAATTATTATATAAATACCATATTTACAATATTTTCATCATTCATTATTTTGTAAAATAAAACTTGTCTTGATTTGGAAAGAAATAAACTTACAGATATTTAATAAATTTAATGCAAAAATAAAATATAGTTAAAAAATTTTTTTAATATAATAAAAAAGTAAAATATATCGCACAATGTATTTAGATACATATACTTTTATAATAATGTATTACATATAGATACAATCTGCATATACCAGTATTATCATTTAAATTTATTATGCAACAGTTTGGTAACATTTTTGGTATGATCCCTTTTAATGATGTGACTTAAATTGATTGCATGATCTGTTTAACACAGATTTAGATGTAATCGAAGTTTATGGAGCTTTGTGTTCCTTATTCCATAAATTAATCGTCCTCAATGTTTGGCCTATATATAATAACAGGTAGGGATCGTAACCATTTTCTTATTTTATACAGCCACTTGCCCATAAAAATTTTCGGGCTTTACTATTAGTACAAAATATTTTTAAAGGCCAATTTTAAATTTGCATAATTATTTTTAATTTTTTATATTTAAAACATAAAATAAATTATTATTTCTATGCTTGCAAATTTGTAGATAAATTTAAAATATAGATAATATGCTAAGCAAAACGCGAGTGTTCTGGTTCCCTTCTTAATTAGGTTTTATGTGGGTTTTGTTTTTTAATGTTCTGATCTTTGCTTACATGATAGACAATCATGATAGACGATATAAATTTTATCATTATTCTTTATTTTTCATTACATTATAAAAATCGATCAATTTGATAGTATATCCTACAATGATATACATTGAGAACTATCAAATTGAAAATTAAAGAACCCAAAGCCCCTTAACTTATTTTGAGGTGATTTAACTAAATATGTCCAATCTTTTTAAAAAATCCCCACGCTGTCGCCTCAAATTTTTGTTAATGTTAATCTACATTATAATTTCTAAATATTAGATTAAATCGATTATGTAATTTTAACATCTTTTCATTTTTGAAATGGACTTATCTTTTTTTTAAACCTTGTTTTAAACATATTATAATTATAATGAATAATTCTTTTTTCTATTTTTACTTTCATCTTTTCCGGGTGGTAAGCTCCTTCAGTATTACTATCCATTTTATATTGTTTCTACAATCCATTTGATTAAATTTATATTTTACTATATTGCCTTTACTTTATGAATTATTTTTTACAAAATTAAGTCTCGCAAAAATCGCCGCGATTCAACCACCATTTTGTTGGCCGATCGAGATGCTTCTCAGCGCCAAAATTTTCTCCACTCATTTCCTACAAAAATTTCCGATTCGGTTTCAGGCTCCGGTCGCCAGAGAATCAGAAATCGTAAATATTTATTGGAAGAATGCGACATCACTACTATTGGTTTAATTGTTTTTATATAAAGTTTGTTTCGATAAAAATTTGTTTTCATTTTTTTCTTTGTTACTTCCTTCATTTCTTTACGAAAAAGGGTTAGGGCTCTTTTGGCAAAATCGCTAGGCTTTTAGTTTTTTTGCCTCTTTAGCCGTTGTTTAAAAATCGACCAAATCGTAGTTTCTAATAGGGCTGTGCCGATATTAAATATCGTATCGGATCGGAAACGATATTTAGCGTTTTCCCAAAATATCGGATCGGGCCAATATCTGTAAAAACCCGATCCGATATTTTTACTTTTTTTAAAAATTATTTTATGTATATTTATTTTTTACATTAATAATATCTTCTAAATAATTTTTTTTAAACAATGCAAATGTGATTTATTTTTTTAAATAGATTTTAAAAGTTTTTTTTATAAAAATAGAAAGGAACACTCAAAGTTTTATTTATTTTAAATCTTTTTAAATAATAAAGCCAATTTTATTATTTATACCTTAAATAAAAGAATTTTTTAAAATATGGTATCTGAATTATGGAAATATTTTAGAAAAGACAAAGATAATTTTGCAAGATACGTTATCTGCGGAATTCTAATTTTACGGGGAGGAATAATGGAAAATTCATTTAATACTATCAATATCCGTAAACATTTTTTAAATTATTGTAGAAATAAAAAAAATTAAATTAAATGCATAATTTGAATTTTTGCATAAAAAATTTTTATTTCTTAATTACACTTGGTTCAAAGGGGTGGTGAAAAATCATTAAAAATATCGGATCGGTATCGGATCGGGTTTGAGCTAATATCGGAACATATCGGATCGGTAAAAAATATGTGGATCGGCACAGCTCTAGTTTCTAACGTGATTTCCTTTTTCCAATTTCTTTCTCCCTTCACCAATTATTGCATTTTTACTTTTAGGGCGGAAAAAATCAACCATAAGTGGCGTCAAGGTTAGAGGAGGACGACGGTCTTTGAATAATTCTTCATTATCCCGCGATAATGTTGACTGGAAGAGTAATACTTTTCACACGAATGAAGTAGAAGATGGAGAAAGGGACGATGTTTTGGAAAAATTTGATTTAGGTAATAAAACTATCTTTTTAGAGTCATTCTTTGCTATTATTATTTTTTATCTATTCAAATTTTTAATTCTTTTTTTTTGGTTGGAAATAATGTACAAGGTGTGTAGATTTGATTTTTTTTAATAGATAACTCATAATTTTTTAATAGTATTTTCAAAATAAAAAATGCGATTTAACTCCTAAAAACACATATTTTAAAAAGATTATTTGCCACTTCCATCGCCACCATCTTCGCCTATTCCGCTCTCTCTTTACGAGGCATGGGAGGACGACATTACCCCAGACCTCTACGATAAAATAACGAACAATGACGGGGAAGAGTTTAAAACATCGAAACTAGATGGAGGCTCAATAATGGGAAATAAGGATGACGAAGAAAAGAAGATTAGAATAATTATTGAACAGGTGTGAACCTCTACTCTTTTAAATTTTAATATTTTATTTGTAACATCTTAATTTAATAAAATACCTATCATTGACCAATGCCCATAACTAATTTAAGATCGAAATGCTATTATTCACTTATTATTTTTAGGAAATAAATGCCATAAAGCGAACAGGGGACATGGTCGATCGAGGCCTATGGACTTCGGACCAAGAAGTAACCTCCTTCCTCCCAACTTACGCATTTCATCAACCCCTGCATTCCTTGATATCCTATAATTCCGAAAACTCGGGTCAGAATATAATTAATTATAACCACCAAAACGCGAAAGAGAATCTTCAAAATCGAAATTCCGAAAATCTGGCAAGCCAAAGTCAAGATAAGTTGAATACCTCGCCTCAAAATTTCCTAAAGAGTCAAAGCCGATTACAAATAAGTGATGGGTTACCCACGATCAATAATGAAACGGAGGTAGACTTAAATAGGTACTATGATAAAGTTATGATGATGAATTCCAGGCTAAATCGCCTACACTTTTAACCCGACTCTTTCTAAGGATTATACATCATAACCAAGAAAAAAATATTTTGGCCTTCAACTTCCACCTAAAGCTGAAATAAGCCCAGTTAATTTGTCCATTTAACAATATATCTGAGCTAATATGATAATTTTAACATATGGCTTTAATGTAGATCTTTAAAATGACATATTCATTCAATAGGGTAAAAAAAATAACATTACCGTCGAAAACCCGTAGTTGAAAAACGGAAATTCATAGAAACCCCAATCGGTATTTTTTTTCTCCTTCAATTTTTATATATATAAATATATAAAAATTTTTAAGTTGGATCAAATACAGGTATAGAAGTTAAGACGATTTCAGTAGTCTTTTATATATTTAATAAACAATATAATTTAGTAAAAAATTATGAAATATTTTATATTTAGTAATAATTTTTTTTAAGAATGTTGGTTAACGCTCAAGGTTGTCAGGTCAAAATTTTGGGATAAAATTATATATGAGTTTGTGCCCCCACACTTCCGTTTACTGACCTTCGGCCCGCTTTTGTTTTGCATTTGGTTGGGTCCGCTTTTTACCTACGAAATTCTAATTAAGCAGCGATACAAATTGTAAAGAATATCGGCTCAGAGAAATATACCAATTACGATTCGGTTCGTCAATATGTGATTTGACCCTTAGAGAACATAAATCGAATATCTTTTTAAATATACTTGGACCCATTTTTAAATTATGTTTAGTATACAGTTGAAACCTGGCATGCTGGTGTAGAATTATAAGCATAAATAGCAAAAACCACTTCAGCCAACCATTCCTTTCTTGTCTGGCTCCATACTTAAGCCTCTCCTATTAAAATTTACATACTTATATAAAAAGGAAAGATAAAATGGTCATTTCAAATTTTTGACAATAACCATATTTTACCCTATTGAATAATGTCATTTTAAAGATCAATCATGAAACTATTTAAATATTCTAAGATGTTTAAAGTTAGTTATATCAATTTTTAGAAATTTTCTTATTTTTGAACTTTATATGTCCATATCTCACTCAGCCCCTGTTAGAAGTTGTGGACCAAAATATTATTTTATTAGTTACGTTATCCCCAAATTTTGAGAGGAAATGATATCAAGAAAAATTATCCAGATAATTAGAATAAATTTTAACTAAAGCGAATTTCTAGATATACTTAATTTTTTTTCTCAAATAATTAAGGTAGGGAAGCAGTATTAACTGATAATATGAGATGAATAAGAAATGCCAGAAAATGTGCTTTATGAATAGCCTCTTCAACCAACAATAAACTAGTTCAATGCCAATCATATGAATTTTAAAATTAAACACTTGATAACTTAATGTTACTATTTTTTAAAAAGAATTTTCTTTATTTTTTTACAATGGTCATTTAAAGATACCCTTAATAAAATACGAAAGTAAAATATAATAAAAGAATGAAAGAATTATTAAAGAAAAAGATCATAGGAAAAAAATGCAAATAAATTTAAGTTTTAGAATGGAAATTTAATTCCTCGAAGAAAAATGTGAATCCAAGTGGAATTCATGGAATATTTAAGAGATAAAAAAGTATAAAATTTTGGGGAAAAAAAATTAATAGTTCCATCGTTCTAGATGATAGTAATAATCCCGATTCAGACTTCATCTCTTGCCAATTAAATATTTCGGACATCAATCAAATCATGGATTTACCATCCGTTGATTCATCGAAGCCTGGAGAAGTTAAATGTCATTGGCTCTACCTTGGCGAGGAATTAAAATGGCTTGCATCGGATTTTGCTCAAGAACACAGGTGGAAAATTTCTGCGGCAAGAAAGGTATAATTTCTTTTTTAATCTACACCTAATTCCCTTTATTTCTTTTTATATTTCTATTCTTTTTTCTTTCGTTTATTTCTTATAATCGTGATGTTATATTCATATGTTTTAGGTGAGTCGGTTCATGCAGAAATATTTCGAAGAAACTTTAATCCGGCAGCAAAAATTAGATCAAGAGGAGATCAACAAAATAAGAAAGATAGCCTCTAGGGTTTCTAAATTCGTTTCCAGATTCTGGAGAAATATAGCCAAAGTAAGAATTTTTTTAATAATGACGTATTTTTAACAGATTTAGTTTGCTGTATACTTCGTCTGCCATTCTCTGTAGCACTAATACAGAAAGTGTACCTGTTAAATTTTAATTGAGCCATTAATTTACTTTGGAAAAAGATATTGTTAACAAGGATTCTATTCTTTTTTCAACACGATTTAAAAATGTTGTTATATAGAATATAAAATTAAAACAACCGATATAATATTATATGAGCGTGACATAAATAATCTCAAATAAATAATTTATAGGTGGCTCAAGCCAAAGCCGAATCCATAAGCCAAACCAAGTACCAAAGAAGGTTGGACAAACAACTTAATGCCATAGTCGGTGAAACCGAAAAGTATTCTCACGCCATAACAAAGCAATTCCTTCATAATACCGAAGATGAAATGTCGTTGACGGGTAAAAATAAAATATTATGGGGAAAATGTTTGGTTCATAAAAATTGTTATCTGGCCCTGCTTATATCTAATTTTATTTTTTTTTATTTTTGTAAATATAATAGTATACAAAACGCCATCTAGCGAGCATAACGCTATAAAAAATGTACCTTGCCATTCGGATAGCTCATTGTCCAATCATTCCAATCGATCTACTCAAGAAAGTAGATTAAACATAATATTAATCGTTTTCAAATTTTAACCCTAATGTTTACAGATATTCTACTGATATAAGCATCAATTAATTTGTTAAATATGAATATTTCGTTCTGGCTTCTTTTTTTCATATTGTATTTGCATTAATGATACTCATATATTTTAATAACGATATCAAATAATTTTTTATGAATAGACTTAATTTAGCATTTTTTAAAAATTTACTAGCTTTAATACGAGATTTAAGTTATTATTTAATTGTACAAGAAGTATAATAATCAAATATAACATTCATTTTTGGATTTTATAAGTTTTATAATTAATGGATATCCATAATCGCTTAAGAAATTAGAATAATGACCACATTATATTTTTACATGACTTATGTCAATAATGAAAAATAGTCTCACCACCTCCTACTCCCAACCTTTCTTTCGCCCAACGTCATACTCCTCACGTGACACAAACACAATATAGGTCACATAAACAAGAACTTTTCAAAACAACCATGATGCCATCAAAAAAAAATCTATCACTCACCTCAAAATTTATTACTAATCAAAATGATGAAACGGTTTTGAGAAACGGAAAGATCAGGAAAAATATTCTGCCACAACCTTTATCGACTACTAATGATCATCATGAACCCAAAACGTTTAAATCCGAAACCGGGTTCGAAAGAGATAAAAATATATCGAGATTGACTAGGAATAGCAGGATTATTAAATTAGAAAATACGGAACACATTAAATTTGACCAAGGTTTTATTAATGTATTCTATCAATGTTATGGAAATAATTTATAAATATACATATTTTGAATATGAATAAATAAAAAATAACCATTACACAAAAAAAAATATTGTAATCAATTTTAATGTTAAATTCAAAAGGTGCAATTCCAAATGGGATTTACGAAGAGGACCTAAAATTAAAAGATACACATTTTGTCGAACAGTGTGAAAATGAAGCGATCTCTAAAGAAGGCAGCCAAAGTAACAAACAACGGGAAATGGTAAAGAATGAAGAAATTAATCGAACTATGCGTAGTACAAGAGGGAGTAAATTTGGGAAAGGAATCGCTGACTCAGAGAATGTCAGGGTATTAAGGAATAATAAGGTAGTCAAAGTATTCATTCATTCACCCAGTTCTTCAGACTACAACGAAATAAATATAGCCTTAACATCACATAAGGAAGTTGCGAAGATGGATGAAATAGATATCCAACAAAGTATTACTGTTAAATAATATTGATTAATAAGTTGTGTATTTTATCAATTTTCTAATCAGCACTTAGGAAACCGATTAACTACAAATAAGGAATAAAGACATTAATTGATAAAATAAGATACTACTATACAATGGTTAAATTAAAATTATAACAATATATTGTATTTGTATAATACCCTAGTACTAAATATTTATTTACTCTGGTTCTAATCTTTTCTTACTTCAAATATATATATTTTAAATATGAGCAAATATGGAATTTTATTCGGGGTTAGAAAAAAAATATTCCTTCTTATTGGCCGATTTGTTTGATTTTCTCAGATTATAAAAGATTTTGGAATATAAGCAGATTTTTAACATTGCATATTATTACCATCATTAGTTTAAAATGTCTAAAAAAAGTAATTCGCTAACGCTCTCTTTTGAAAAAAGTAAACCGCTTTTAGCTACTTTTACTCTACCATGTATAAAAATTTATTTTTTTATATAAGTTAGTTACAAATTACGTAGTCAATTCGCGTATAGATATTACTAAAATACTTCTTTGGCAAGAAGATTAGTAAAATGAAAAAAAAGCGTCAAACAAATGATTGTGCTATATACCTATTATATCCTTTATTTAGCGCGTTTTTAAAATTTAAATAACCTAATTTTTTTTTTGAAATGTATTTCAATATCTGTAGATTACCTATCTTATAGATTTCATATAATTTTGACTAGAACAATACGTGTATTTATTAATTAGGCGATTTGACTATAACGTATATCCAGAGTTGGGCAGTACCGCGAATACTTGTATCTAAAATACAAGATACAAGATCCTTTTGTATCTTGTACTCAGTATCTTATTGACATTTTTAATAAGATACTAGTATCTGTATCTAAGATCCTTTATTTTGAAAAGAATCTTGTATCTTTTTCATTTTCTTTAAAAAGATACAGATACAGATTCTTTTTAATATTCATGTTTAAAACATTTACATACACACAATGTTACTTTATTTTCTACGTGAAATCTTGTATTATTTTCTTTATTTTTTCCTGCTATATTTTAAATATATTTGATAACCAAAATCAGTTGGAAATTTTACAGATCACAAAGATAGATAGATTAAAAATAGCAACACCAAAACTAAATAAGCAAAGGTTATATTTTATATGTAATATTTTTTAATTTGTAGAATGTTTAACATTTATAGTAGTGAAGATGAAATTATGGAGATAGGTTCTCCTGAGTCAAATCTGAATCTTGAAATTATAGATGGAAAATTTTATATAGTAATTCATGTGAAAAAGGACAGGGTGCAAGCCGAATATTAAAATTACACAAGTAAAAAAGTTATTAAAGATTGAACATACTCCTCACAAACGTTGTTAAACATATTAAAGTATAATATACATTTTTATTTTATAATTATTAACATAATAATACCTATACCTATAATACTTAAGTCCTTCTTAGATAATTGTTATTAAAATTTTTTATAGAAGATAGTTTATTATCAAATTAAAATCATTTTGGATATATATTTTTTAGGGGTGTACCGATACGACTTTTTAGAGGTCTATCCGATCCGATATTCCCGATATTAAATTGATATCTGCCGATTACCGATCCGATATCATATCTAATTTTGTATTCTGTAAAGATAACAATGGTTTTAATTTTTAATATACTTTTTATTAGTATAACATCTATAATTTAACTATACCATAACTTATGTCATATAAATATATTTATAATGATCAGTTTTAGTTTATATTCAATTCAATTACAATTCTAAAAGTATATAAAATATTTCATTGTAAAATCACTTTTATATAATAAGTAATAACATTAATCTATATACATATTAAGTAATAAACAATTATATTATGAAATTTGAAATAAATATTTAAAATTATATTTAGGGAAGATTTCTTTTTAGAAATACCAATATTTCCGATTTATCAGAGGTCAGCTTGCGGCGATAGTAACTGTCAATATCACCAGCTTCACTAATAACAGATTCTGTAGTGATTATCGCACACTTTTATAAACAGAATGCGCAAAAAAAATAACAATATGATAGGGTTTATTAATTAATTATTATTACTAAAAAAATATACATAAAAATGGATTTCGATTTTATTTATAAAAATAAATGATTTTAGATATAACTATTTTTTTTCATTTTATAACATTTTATTTTTGTTAAAGAAGCCATTTTTATATCGGATCAAATTTTATAATATTGACCTATAACCTATATTTTAAAATGGGTAAAATATCGGTCCGATCCGATAAAAAATATCTGCACATCCCTAATATATTTTATATTTAATTATTTTAGCAAGTTCTTATTAAAGGAAATATTTAAGCTACAATTGATATATAATATTAGATAATTTTAAAAGGCTCTTAATAAAAAATAATTATAATAAGGTAGAATTTAACTTTATTAGTTACTTTTATTATTTATGATATAAATAAAATTACATTACAGTATTTATTTACGAAATTTAATTAATTTAAAATGCATTAAAGAAAATTGCTATGTAATTAACAATTAAATAATATAATGTTGTACATTATTTTCATATTTTTTATATATAATTAATAATTTTGCAAGAAATATATAAAAAAAATATGAAAAAAGATTTAAATGATATTTATATACTATATATGATATTACAAATGCAAGAATTAATAAGTCATATTAGAAAATAAAACTAATTAAAAAATACATAAATATCACAAACAAGTAATGATAGATACTTTTTAAAGATAATGAATAAAATAAAACTAGTATATTTTTTTAAAGATTCCATTTATCCATATACTCCGAATATAAGCTATATTTAAAACAACACAGAAAATAACCTGCAAATTCTAATAAATCATTTGATTTAATTTTTTTTCTTATTTGCACATTTTTAACTCCCATTAAATATACTACTCTCCCTTCCCTGTTTAAGCTATTAATGGGCAAAAATTAATATTAATAATACCTGGTTATTATAATTTATTCATCAATAAATATTTTATTAATTATTGCAAATATTCATTCTTATATGTGTATGCTATGTTCTTCACAAATAAATAATAAAAACTATATTTTATAAACTATTCTAATTTAATTGGTTATGATAATTTAAAAGTATCTTGTATTTAAGATACTTTAATTTAGTAAAAGATACAAGTATCTTTTATCTTGTATCTTTTTGATATTTTGAAAAAGATACTAGTATCTGTAACTAAGATTCATTTTTTTAAAAAGAATCTGTATCTGTATCTAGATTCTTTTTCCGGAGGACCTGCCCAACTGCATATATCTAATCTATGCTCATAAAATTAACATTTTAAATTCTAAAAATATAAAAATATTACAAATTGTAAAATATACGCTATTTTGTTACATTTTATTAATAATATAATTTTTATATTATCATCCCCAAGTCTAGAGCGGCGATTAAAATTTATAAGTTTTGCCCTATTGCTCAATATTAGCACTTGAGGGTAATGGAGTATTTAATTTTATAAACATAATTTTAATATATAAAAAATTATCAAAAATTAGTATTTTTAGATAAAAAAAATGTGTCGAGAGGATTTTCTATCATAACCCGACAGCCACTCTCTTCTCAATTTTTGTTTAAATTTTTAAACCTTAACCCATCATATTGATAGAATTTTTTCCATTTACATAAGGGAAATAAATAAGTATCTATCTATTAATTAGATGAAGAACTCTCGCCAATGGTCGAATCCAAAGATATGCCTTCTGCCAAATTATCACCTTACGATCAAGTATAAATATATTAATGTATTACGTCGCTTTGAATGTTATAGACTTGTTTACCTTTATAAATTACAAGTGTCTCTATAATGGAATATATGCATGTAACTTTTATATGCAAGCTTATAAATTTCATGTGTCATATAGGTCTGCTAAAAAGTCAATTTTATTTAGGCGCTTTAAAAAATTCTTCAAGAAATTTTGTGGAGGAAATAGGAAATATTTAAGGCATGGTGATAATAAATTATTATACCCGTTTTAAATACAAACTTTGAAATTTGAAATATGCATTATTAAGGTCTCATATTAACTTAAAATAGACAGTAATTAAGTTGTTACAGTTAAAAGATAATGTTTACTAAAATAAATTATTTTATTAAAATTTATGTTAAAAAAATTAATGTTATTAAATTATCGGGCGAAGACCGAGAAAATGGTAAATTGGAGGTGAAATTTACAAATTTTTTTAGTATTTTTCCCTTCCTGGATAATCTTGAATGCATCACTGTCTAGTCATTATTTACCATAAATATATTTTCAGAAATTGTGGAATATATATTTTTAATTTAAAAAAAATTGTGATATTTTTAGATTCCCTAAATTATTCCTTAATAAATGGATGGCCGATAAATAAATGAATAACATGCTATAACTGACTAAACACAAGCACAAATTTTTTTATTTTAATCTGTTATTATTATCAAGCTGCAAGATGATACTAAAGATGATGGGACCGAGGAGATAAACGACATAGCCGCCCAAGCCCAGAAATTCCAACCCAAAGGATTTACTTTGGAAACTACCGAAGTAATATTAATTTATTTAACTTTCTTTATTAAAAATATCATATTGCCAAATTTGATCAAATTAAAACAGGAATCGTGGTTAGTGATAGCCTCGATCCATTAATCTTATAATTTATTGTTTTATGTTTATTATGCCTAAGCCGATCATAAATTTTTCACTGATCCCATATTTGTCAACATTTTAAACCAATCCGATAACCGATGCCGATCTAATAAATGGATTGATTTTTATTTATCGAGAAATTTTCTTGATGCTGAAAAATTTAATATATAAAGGTACTACCACACATCTATTCCATTTAAAACAAATTTAAGATCTTTCAATCTATGAGATTTGTAATAGTATAATTGAACTTATCTCTTCTGAAATTAAAAAGAAAAATGAGCGTTCATTAAATTAATTTAGACAGTTTTGATGAATTTAATTTTTTAACCATCGTTTTTATGATTAATTTACAGTATTATTTTATAAAAAATAAAGTTTTATTCATTTTCTACCTTAATTTATTTATATAATTTTGCCAAATATCTATTTCATAAAAAATAAATAAAAGTTATATTTTTTAAAGCAACTTGCACCTTTTAAAATTTTTTTACCAATTATCCTCAAAAATGTGAAAAGTAATGTTGTTAAATGGCTCTATTAGCCGATTTTTAAAAACGGCTAACTCAAGATTTTAGCCAGAAAAACATTGCCAAAGCCTTGAGATTTTGCTGATAGATGTCCAAGCCTTTGTGCCATCTATGAGCAAAATCTTCAGTACGTTATGTTCTTCTGGATAAAATGTTGAGTCAGCCGTTTTCAAAAATCGCCTCAAATCGAGCCGTTTAACAATACAAGTGAAAAGTATTTGTAAAATTTTAGAAAAATTTGCCAAAACTTGATGGCTATCATTATAAAATTTCTATTCTATTTCCATCCTAAAATTTATTTATTTTTTCCTTTTTGAACTTTTATACCTATCATCATAATTATGAATACGATATATATCGTATCCATCTTAGATTATACCATGATTTTGTTATATTTTTAATATTTTGATTAAAAATTATACCTATGGGTTCGAACTGACTTATAAAATATGGAATGCTCTAAAAACTGTTTTTCATTAAAATAAACAAGATATTTAAAATCGTTCATTGAACAAAGAAATAATTTGAGGTCGATATAAGCAAAAACTTAATTTCCTGTTTATATTAACGTACAAAGGTAACAACTACATAAAAATACAATTAATGAAAACTAACTTTTTAAAGGTGAAAACACCCGTTCCCTTTCTCCTCAAACACACCCTTAGGGAATATCAGCACATAGGATTAGATTGGCTCGTTACCATGTACGAGAAGAAGTTGAACGGAATCTTGGCTGACGAGATGGGACTCGGTAAAACTATACAGACCATCAGTTTGCTGGCTCATTTGGCTTGCCAAAAAGGTAGTCCTTATATCCTTATATATTTACTAGTATACATGCAGTTTTAAAATCGTTCTTCTGTAATAATCACAAAATTATTTATCAAATAAAAGTTAGATATTTTTATACATTACTATATTGATTTTTTATGTGTTCTCTTTTATCACTGGAAGGCATATGGGGACCCCACCTGGTCATTGTGCCGACTAGTGTGATGTTGAATTGGGAGATGGAGTTCAAGAAATGGTGCCCTGGTTTCAAAATACTCACTTACTATGGATCCCCCAAGGAACGGAAGGCTAAAAGAAAAGGGTGGGGAAAAAAATGTAAATAAATTTATTAAAATAAATAATTTGCTATATGACCTGATTCAACTTATTTTTGCATAAATTATTTCCAGCTGAGAATTAGATTGTTCATGTTAACTTTTTTTTATAAATTCAAATATTCTCTTTTAGATACTCTTCCTTTTTTAAAATTTACTAACTTAAAAAAATGTAACATTGAATCTTTCCTATTATAGGCTGATATTTAAGAAGAAAATTCATTTTATCAAGCTTAAATTTAGTATTGGTACCCTGGTAAATGGATTTAAATATTAAGCATAGGCGAAGAAAAAAAATACAAAATTAATAATAAAAGATAAATAAGAAAAGGCATGGAACAAAATACTTTTTATCCAATCAATGATATACACAATAATCATTCTTTAGCTTCACATTCTAACATTACTTGCCCGAACGTGATCGTAACATCATACCGTTTAGTATTGCAGGACGAAAGGTGTTTTAGGCGCAAGGCTTGGCATTACCTCATATTGGACGAGGCTCAAAACATCAAAAATTTTAAGAGCCAACGCTGGTTAACCTTATTAAACTTCAAGAGTCGGGCTCGACTCTTGCTAACAGGCACCCCCATTCAGAACGATCTTATGGAACTATGGTCTCTCATGCATTTCCTAATGCCCCACGTATTTAAAGAGGCTGGCCAGTTTTCGGATTGGTTTGCTAGACCTTTGGGAAGTTACGTGGTGTCCGGTAATATAAAACATATTATTTTGTTATACCCTAGAAAAGGATAAGCGGAAAAAAAAATAAGGAATTAGGAAAGAGTTATGGAAAGTAGCTTTTATTTTTAAGATAAAACTTGATAGAAAAAAATATAGGAAAAAAAGTAGGGATTATATAATAATATATATAATCAACAGGCGCCGAAGAGCTACCTTCCAGGGGTGACGCTAGGGATATAATGTTGGGCAGTCTCGATGATAACTATACTTCCTCTACGAACAAGGATCAGTCGATAATCGATAATTCCAAGCAATCACTAATCATCAATAACAACGAAACTTCCCTATTGGTGGGAAAGCTCCACAAAATTCTGAGGCCATTTATACTCAGGAGACTTAAGAAAGAGGTACAATTTAAATATATAATCTTTTAATTTGCAATACATTGCTAAAAAAATGCAATTCTTTTTGACAAAAATGTCACAACGAAAACTAATATAGGATTTTATAATCAAATTAGTCCTTTTTAACCTGATTTTAAATGCGACTAATGAAAAGGGACACCAATTATTAGGTTACATAATGCTATACATTTCTTCCTTTATGCACCTCACTCAACTTACAAAGGTGGAAAAGCAGATGCCCCCAAAACTTGAACATGTTATTCATTGTAGGTTATCCACTCGCCAACGGTATTTGTATCATGATTTCGTTTCTCGCTCAGCTACTACCGCTATCTTGAAGAGCGGAAATTTTTTGGGAGTTGTCAACGTTCTTATGCAACTTAGGAAGGTATTTAAAAATTTATTTTTATATTTCATATTTTTCTTTTATTAAAAAAAAATCAAATCATTTTTTGTGGAGGATGAAAAAATAAAACGAAAAAAAAGTTTTTTGCTGTATTGTATACGAAGAGTTTAAGGAAGGAGTGAGTGGGTAGAAAGAATATAAGGAAATAAGAATAGGGAAAGGAAATTATAACACATTCTTTATAAATAATTTTTACATAATAGCAAACCATTAAAAAAAATTACAATAAGGTTTGCAATCATCCAGATCTATTCGAGCCTAGACCGGTCCTTTCCTCCTTTTTTGATTCTTTACACAGCGTAACTTTACCCTATCCCTTATCGAGCCGTTTAAATTATTTGCCCTCCGCTATCTGCGATATGTTAAATGACGATGATGACGAAAAGTATTTGATCAATAAAGTTTGCTATTATTATATTTTTTTATTGAAACATCACCATTTTATTTCTATTTTCCTCCGCACTTTTTTAAAATACAGTAATTAACTAGAAACGGTACCTATTTAAAGGCGTAATTCAGTTATTATTTTTTTTATTTTATATCTTAAGGCCTGATCCGGGATTATATTTTTTCGTCAGATCTAATTTTAAAAAGACTATATAAGTAAAAATTATATAATGTATTTGATATATGAGAGGGTTGAGCAAGTTAGAAAAGGAGTTACAATTTTTGTCTGTGCTAACTAAGAAATTATAATTAAATAAATATTTACTGTTTATTATATAATTTCGATTTGTAGTAATTAATTATATTTATTTTGCATTATTTAATAAATTTCTAAAAAAACGGAGCTTCTTTAGCGAAAAAATTAAAGTGTTTAATTTGCTTCTCTTCCATTTTAATTTTTCTAGGGACACTTAGTAAGCACATTTTTGCGTTGCTATTCCGTTCATATCATCAAAAATTGTGTTCTTTCAACATTCTTTAATGCTTTCCCTAAAAAATATCTAATTATTAATATTTTATTAATATACAATATTTATTTAAGGATCCTTATTATATAGATCAGTTATTAGATTTGAATATTAATAAGACATTCTCAAAAAATTTATATTTATATTTGAGCGTTGATAATATAAATTTGAAGGTAAAAAAAACTCAAAGATAACTTGGCACAAAATTATCCACTAATATTTAAAATTTTTTATTTTATAATTTTTAATATTAATTTTAGAAATTTTTAAAATTATTTTCAAATATGATGTTAAAAAAATGTTATTTTAATCTTAAATTACATAATAATACTTAATAATGTGTAAAATAATATTGTTATTGTCGTGATTGTATGCTTTGATAAACAATTTTTAATATAATATTTTATATGTAGCTTATATTATTTTTATAAACACTTAATGTGGGATTTTATTTTGTTTGTGGACTGTTTATTTTTTTTAATATGAAAAGATCGCTATAAATTATGATATAGATTTATTTGTTTGTGAGAAAAAACAATAAAATTAAGGTTCAAAAAATCAAAAATATGTATAAAATGTTCATAAAGAAGTTTAAGTTATAAAAAATAAGAGTGTCTCTACAGGAGTTAAGAATAAAATTATAAATGATTAATAGATAAAATTTATTTGAAACAAACTTGAATTAAAGAAAGAAAAACGAATATTTATGAATGAACCATTTATAAATATTATATCTATAAATTAAATTTAAAAAATTGTTTTTCAGAATATTTCCGAAAAAACGCGCAATTTGGAAACACTTTAAATGTGCTGCCCCCCCCCCCCTCCTTCCATCACATTATAAACACGCAAAAATTTAAAGATTCTTTTATTGCACATTATATTCAAATTTTTTTTTACAAGAAAACCATATTAAATTCTAGTTACCGTTCTCATAACATCGAAAGATTAGAAATTCCTGAAATCCCCAGTGCCTCTAATAAAGATAATATAGATCTCTTCTTGAAAAACATTTTAAAAATACGATTTAATTTAAACACTACCCTCATCAAATCACCCAGTACTATATTGGATTCAAACAATGTCGCCATGCCTAGAAATCCAGGTTAAATAATTATTTATTAATCGTTATTTTGACTGATTTTTTAAAATTTATAAGCTCTATACACGGCCCTCGGAATTTCTTTATTAAAGAATATACAATTGTTTAGGCGTTCTCATTTACCTTTAATTATAGTATTCTAACTGATCTATTTTTTAAAAAAATTGTTTATTAATTATATGGAGGACTTTAAGAGTGCGCAATTAACTTTATACAGTTATATTAAAATACTATATTTTCCTTTTTAAACTTTTTAATCATATTAAAAAAAACTTATAATTATTTTGATTTCAAAATTTTAAAAGGTACACCTTCCCATAATTATATTAACTCCACTTATTTGACGTTTTTTGAACGTATTTCTGATATTCCACCTCGCTTGACCTCAATACTCTCAGTGGTTAACATTTTCCCCGTGTTTTATAAGGGGCGTAATCTTGAAAGCATTTTGGAGATTTTGGAACCAGTTTTAACTAGGTTAAAATAAATAGATAATATAACATAACAGCTGTGAATATACTTTAGTTTCTATAAAAGTGATCTCCACCTTACCTGAATGTTTGACAAATCGACCAAAAAAATTCGACTTTTGGGCCACCCTTTTTAATATAAACAACTCGGTATGGTACTGGATTTTATACAAATCAAAATTCTAAAGCTCCTGCTCAAATATATCCGGAATATAATTAGGTAATGGCTAAATGTCGGCTAATTCAGCCAAATCTTCAGGCGCTTGCCGGAGATATGCCGTCAACATTAAGGCGTTTTAATTTATATTAGTTTATTCTAAATTTGTGCTGCTATCTTTTTAAGAAAAACTTGAAGCCAAAGTGATAGTTTTTGGCTAAAAACTAGAATTGGCCAATTTTTTAGTTGGCTAAAAATTGACTTAAACTGCTAAAAATATAATAATGACACAACTATAATCCGAGATTATTGACTTTTAAAGCTGCGCGCGTTTTCTTTTTTTTAACGAATATCAAATTAATCGAAAAATATTAAGTATAAAATCCCAGATTAGATATCTGTTTGAATAAAACACATTTGTAAAAAATTTAATATTGTATTTCTAGTAAAATAAAAAATATTTTGAGTTAGCCCTTCATTTGGGGATGGACACCAGATATATTTATTACCTATATATTTAAATATATAAGCATAAAAATGGAGAGAATAACTATTTAAATTCTTATAAAAATTGCGAAAAAATAATTACAAAATAACTATTTTTTAAAAAAATTACAAAATAACTATTTAAAAAAAATTATGTTAGCTGATTATAGAATATTTTTTAAAGAGTTAAATTTATTACGACCAAATAATGATAGTGGATTTTGTAACAACGATTGGACATACTTATAATGTGTCTCCTAAGGATATTCTAACGATATCCACAATCCAACTATTTTTTTTTCAAATTACAATAATTTTAAACTACCCTCAAATATATCTCACACAATTTTTTATAATAGGCTTTGATATTTTAGACATTTATTAAGTTGATTATAGTTTAGCATTAAATAGAAGGGTACTGAAAAATCCAGGTTAAAATATACTCAAGTTTTTTTGCAGTAACAATTTGGAAATACTAAGTATTGTTATACCCAAGGGTTAAAGAGAATTTTGAAAACTACAAAATGACTAAATATTTTTGAAAAATTTGAGATTCTTAAAACCAATATGGCAAAGTCCATAACTTCGCCATTTTAGTTAGAACTTTAAAATTTTGGTTTGTATAAAAAAAATCTATATTACCTTAATGACAAGTTTCAAGTATTTAAAAATGATCGCTCGAAACAATGGGTGACTTCACATATTTTAATTATATAAATGAAACGAATAAATAATAAGGGAAACATAAATCATTTAAATAACCCTCATCCTTACTATTAGATTCTTGATTTTCGTTCCCCCGACTCTCTCTACCCCGTTCTACTCTTATTGTTCTCATCCTACACCGAGTTCCTTCACTCGAGACCAGTCATATGAAAACCGGGTCGGGACATTTCTGAACACTGGTATTCGTTGCTTGCCTCACATTTATCACGATGTCAATATCGGGCGTTTGCTAAAGTTTCCGGAGGTTCGACTCATCGAATACGATTGCGGTATAGATTTATAATTTATACGTCTTGACAGAGTTTATAAATAAAAGTATCCATTTTGTTTTCAAAAATTGTAAATAAAAAAAAGACATTAATTTTGGTTAAAATGTATTTCATGAACTTTTTTTTAAAAAAAAGGCAAATTGCAAATACTCAAACAATTATTATCCACACTCAAGGCCCAAAAACATAGGGTCCTCATATTCACTCAAATGACAAAAGTATTGGACATACTGGAATCTTTTCTCAATTATCACGGCCACAGATATTTAAGACTGGACGGCACTACCAAGATCGAACTTAGACAGGTCCCATGATATTATAATAATAATTATAATACTCTTGGTTTGTGTTCTTCAGCTTTATTTTTTGATCTTTTTTTTTCCTGGTATTCGTTCTATTTATATTATCTCTTACTTTTGATAAAGCAATTTCAGAACCTTTTTTTCAAATAACGAAAGAATTATTTAAAAATTAAAACGAATTAGTCTATCGACCATCTTACCTTCTTTTTTGTTTTAAAAATATTAAGGATATTTTTTTTGGAAGCCCTAAACTATATTAAATTTTATTAATACTGTAATTTACAAAAAATTACTAAAGATTTTAACGGACCGATTTAATAGCGACTCTCGAATATTTTGTTTTATCTTATCTACCCGCTCAGGAGGGTTAGGCATCAATTTAACAGGAGCCGATACTGTTATATTTTACGATTCTGATTGGAACCCTACTATGGACGCCCAAGCCCAAGATAGGTGTCATCGCATTGGGCAGACCAGACCCGTTCATATTTATAGGTTATTTTCCTTGCATTGAGATATATATCCGCCATTTTATCTAAAAGCCGCTAAAAAGGTTAATTCAAATATCAATCATTTCAATCGATTAAAATATATTTCATATATAATTGTAGTTGCTACACATTAAATATTAACACTTCATTTTCATAGATCTAAAGAATGAGACTTTTCTTTTTCATCTAATGACGGATCTCCAGGTCTATCTTCGGGTGTGCTATTTCTCCACCTGATCCCTCTTTTCCACTTATTGTGGTCCTGAACCTGGTAATTATTTGTAAGACCCATTATTCTTATGTCATTCGTTATCACATTCATTAACATTGTCCTACTACTGATTCCATTACCTTCATCGAGGGGCATATCGTCACTAAATCATCCTTCGTTTTTCACCCAACCAAACCATCACTGTCTATTTTTTTTCATTACCACTCCAATTGCTATTTTTCTAGCAGTCACACTAATCCCTCTTGTACCTTGTCTTTTCCATCTCATCTCTCACACAGTATACACACACCCATCTGTTTAGCGTTTCCCTTATCTCGTCATCGCGACCCCTTATTCTTATTTTACTCTGCAACTTATACCATCGCGGTTATCCACTTGGTGTCGGGTCGTTCCTTTAGCTGTCATAAGTCTCGTTTTCGCGAATTACGGTTATCTTTCTTTTTGTTAAAGCGGAAGATGAGGCCCAGGTGTAGGGTAATTTTGGCGCCCCCACCTATAACACTGTGACAAATTTCGACTTGATTTTTTGGGAGAAAATAAAATAAACATGTTTTAAGACAGTTTTTTATGCATATTCTAAATCCACTGTCACTTTTTTTCTAGCACGTCAGGTTTTTTATTTATTTTAGGTTAAAGTGGCCAAAAAGGTTATTTTTAGCACTTTTTAAAGGTTTATAACTTCGGTTCTAATGATCCCTACAACTAAAAAAATATCTTAATTTTTGCAGCAAACCTTCCTTATTATTATTATAATTTTTTTTTTTATAAAATCCTTACTCAATTTTTAAACAACCTATATTTTTTAAATTTATCTTTATTTATAAAATCTTTTTTAATATAGTTTACATTTAATATATTTATTTATTGTGGCTTTCGTTCTCTTCGCTACACTGCACACGGTACGATTCCCAAACAATTTATTTTAAATGAAATAGTTATATTTCTCATATTTAAATAAATATTTTATGCTAAGCTAACCTATCTCATATTTTACTTTTAATATACCTTTTATCGGTCCGTTGTCCCACCCCCTCCTTCATTATTATATAGGATTTAACTTGTAATATACAATAAATTTATTGAATTTAAAACAAATTAAACAATAACATAAAATTTATCGAATTTAAAAACATTTAATGGTAAATCGAAATATATTTCCGCGAATATGAAGTTGATGATTTATCTTCAAAAAAGATACTCCAGCAGTAGTCCGCCAACATATTTATACGATTCTTGCCGTGATAAAACTTTTCGAGATTTTCTATCTGTTGATGGAACCGTCCCCCATTTCTTCTGACACATAAGTTTTCAGGAAAAAAATCTTTATGGGAATTAAGAAAATGGATTTTGAGGGACATTCGGCATCCCATTTCCTTATAATTTGTTAATAGGTCATCAATTTTCTCACGATAGTCGGCTGATTTATGATTGCCAATGAACGATCTGCATATCCATTTAAAAGATTCCCATGCTTTTAATTCAATGAGTAACAATTCATCTTCAAAAAAATTGTCCTTCATGAGTTTTCTTATTTGGGGGCCCACTAAAATCCCCTCTTTTATTTTTGCTTGAGAAAGCTTGGGGAAAAAATTTCTAAGGTATATCGTAGGGCCCTCGGACAATTTTTTGATAAAATTTTTGATTAGTTCTAATTTTATGTGCAACGGAGGCAACAAAATCTTATTTTTAGAAACAAGCGGGATATTTACGCGATTTTTTTCAAAAACGTTGGGACGATCCTCCCATTCAGATACTGTATAATGTTTTCGAGTGTCTCTGGAATTATAGAGATAAAGAAAACACGAATGCTTGGTGTAGCCTAACTGAAGGCCCGTCAGGATTGCGATCATTTTGAGATCGCAGCATATCTTAAATTCGTAAATGGAATAATTTATTTTTGACAAAAAATATTTCATATTTTCATATGATTCATTTAACTGGTTGGAATAGGCGATGGGAATTGATGGCTTAGAATTTCCGTTATGAAGCAAAACTGCTTTCAAGCTGTTTTTGCTTGAATCGATGAACAAGGGTAATTCATCGGGCACCAATTCAATATTAAGTTGTAAAAAAAGTTGACCTAGATTGTTGGAATAGTATAAAAAATTTTCGTAAGAGAGTAAATTTTTAAACGATGTTCCACGGAATCGGTATGAAGTTCGAGCTCCATTTTTTAAAATTATTAAGCCTTGACGCTAAAAATTCGGACTTTCTTTTTGAAAGTTGTAAATTTCTGGTTATGTCATTTAGTTGCTCTTGCGACATAAATGGCGAATCCTCTTCGGGATGATACTCAAGATCAATATTGTCATTGTCTGGCAACGTATTTTTTCCAGCTGCGAACTATTAAAAAAGGGAACTGTTGTATGCATATTATATTTTACCGGATAAACAACCGATCTTCTTATTTTTTTTGTTAAACCCAAATGTACTAATCGAGCAAAAATAACAATCCTACGAATAATTTCTTGCTACGTGCCAAAATGCAGGTTTCGAATAAGGCAAATATGACCGTTTTCCATTTACCCATGAATTAAAAGAATTATAACATGTTTTACATATGTAATTAGGGGCAAATGGTTTATCCAAATCGCAGAGTGAAATATTGTAATAAATTTCATAAATCCTTTGAATGATTGGAGAAATTGGACATTTTTGGGCTCAAAATTTAGAGACACACTTTAAACAAGGGGACCTCGGCATTAATTTTTTGTAGAATATTATATAAGGAGGGAATTTGAATAATATTTAAAATCCAATTTTAAAAAAAAATTAATAAAAGAAATTAAATGTTTATGAGAAATTAAGCGCGAAAAAAAAAATTCTTCTCCTTTCTTCCTACTCGTTATTTGGCATTATTATTTATTGCCCATACTACGGGTTCAAGATACTCTATTGGAAAATCATATATTTTGATATAAATTGATTAAAAAACAAATATTCTTAAATACATCTAAAAAAGATAAATTATATTAATAAAAAATATGAAAAAATTACCAATTATTGCATTTTAAATGAATTTTGCTTCAAAAATGCTCAATTCAAAAAGAGTACAAATTAAAAAAAGTGGGTACATATATCTGATTTTGGTATAAAATTGATCATAAATGCATAAAATATTACTAAATACAACTAAAAAAGATAAATATTACCTTAATTTTGATTTAAAAATGCTTTATGCAGAGAAAATTCAATAAAAGTGTACAAATTAAAAAGTTCGAAAATATCTCTACCGACTTTTTTAATTTATAGATTTTGGTTGAATTTTCATGGCATAGAGTACTTTTGAAACATAATTAGAATTAATATATAATATTGAGTTTATTTGAAGCAAAATTATATAAAATTTATCTTCTAAAGTTAATAATTTTGATAGTAAATTAAATTGAAAACTTAAGACCCCCAAAATCAAATTCTTTACCATTTTTCTCAAAAACCAATCGATAAAAAATTATAAAAATTAGTAAATTTATAAAGAAATATAAGTTTAACACTATTATCAATTTTCAGGGATTTTTATTCGATACTTTTTAAAATATATCCGTATAAAGACCTAAATTTTACCATTTTTGAGATTTCGAAAAGTTGTCTTTATACGGTAATATTTTTAAAACTTGACGTGTAGGGAAAATTTGAAAAACGGATTCGAACTCAGCGTCAAATTCTGCACCAAAACTTGTTTTTATTTTTTTCTCCCATTTTTCTTGTCACACAGTGAATTGATTGTGCTCATACGAAGTTTTGGGCCGGTTCTTTTTACGATCGGATACTCTTATTAACCGTGATCATAATCTATCTCAGACCACAAGGAACCTTTTAAACCTGCTTTACCACCGGGAGACGGGAACAATTTTTTTAAAAAATATATGTACTAACTAGTTTTAATATAGAGAGACATCCTGTAAGCCTTAAAAATATTTCTTATACTTTTATCCTTCAGACTTGACCACAGTTATTATCTGGTCACTAAATTAAATAAAATTGAACAATTTCTTTAATCCTAAAAAATATATTGTTTTATTACAATAAAAAAATCGATATGTTCATTCCTTGAAGATTGATAAGCCAATACACAGTAGAAGAGAACATATTGTTAAAAGCTCGTCAAAAAAAACTCCTGGGTGACATAACTATAGAAGAAGGTAATTTCACTACCGCTTTTTTCAAACAGGAGGGTCTCAAAGAACTATTTAAAAACGATAGCCACAATGATTCTTATTCTGAAGCTGCGAATGCTTATAGTTTAGGAGAAAAGGGTTTATCTTATTATGATAAGGATAATGAAGAACAAGGTCCAAGATCAAGTGATGATGGCGAAGTCAGGAAAAGAAACTTATTCGAAGAAGTAAAAAATATATAAAATTTTGGGGATTTTTTTATAAATGAATCCCCCCCCCCTTCCTTCTCAAAGAATTTACACTACATATTCTCCCTTCGCTTTCCTATTTTTATTCATTTTCCTTAAATCAAACTCCGCATATTAAGTTAATTTTAGCAGATATTATTATTAAAGTCTATTTGGTGGGAATTAGTATTTTTTAGTTATAATTTTTGATAATTATAAATTCAACATTGTTTGAAATCTTTAACTTTAAATAGTATTTTTTAATAGCCATATTTGAAATCTGTAAAATGGGTAAAGTTCAGTAAAAAAAATGATACTTATAGTTAAGCATTAAAAAGAAAAACCAACCAGAGGCTTGCATGGGTCGAATTTTGTCTACTCACTAAATTAAACAAATATATATATGCTTTCAGCCGAAAAGATTAAATAAATTTCTCTGTAAATTTTATATTTTTTAAATAAGGCCTTAGCGATGACAGAAGACGATGTGGATTCAAGTGCTACCAGAGTTGCTCTCAAGGAAAAGCAAGAAATTATTTTTCAGGAAGCTAGGTTTTTTATACAATTTTAAAAATATTATTCTTTTCTTCAATATTTTTTATCTGATTGCATGGTTGCTTCTTGAAGTTAAAACGAGAAATTGTATTGTTTTTAAAAAAAATTTATAAAATGTAAAACGAGAAATTGTACTGTTTAAAAAAACTTATACTATATACAAAAAGTGATAGAAAATATCTGATTTTAACATCTAAAATTTTCAATTATTTTTATTCTCTTTCTTTAAATTTCATTTTTTTCCTTCATTGGAAGATTGATTATGAGGCAGAAATAAAAAAATATATAATATTAACTTAAGTTATTTTTTCAATATTAGAGAATTCGATGAAGAGCCTTTGCAGAATGAATTGACAGCTAATCAAAGGCAGGAAATCTTGGAAACAGCTGACGTTATCAAGTCACTCCACAAAGAACGTATCGATTTGTACAGTTGTGAATTAATAAATAAAGAGGAGACCAAGGAATGGAAAAAATATTTATCGGCTGAGCTTTTGACCTTTATAAACGAGGTATATTGTGACATGAATAAAATTTAATTATCCTGAATCATCTTTCAGGGTTTTTTTTATCCGTTTAAATTTAAGTAAACGTGTAATTTGGGGTTCTAAAATAAATTGTTACATTGTAATTATATTCCTCGATACACATTTTTCTTATGTCTGGATCGGAGAATTTTTATGACAATATATTTTAAAAAATTAGATATGATTAAGGTATATTTTTTAACTTTATTTTGAAAAATATTACAAATCCCCAGCTTCATTTGTCTATATAATTATCCTTTCTTTTGAACAATTCAAAATCGTAAATAACCATGCTTCTTTTACAAATAAAATATATGATGAAGCTTCGACCGATTGAAAGATTATGTTTGTATTTGTACGAATCCACGAATCAAGGACAATTATACGAGGACATTTATCTAAATAATCATAGTGATGAAGAAATACAAGAAAATATTTCAGATAAACCAGAAACGCTAAGTATTCCCTCTGTTGATATGAATATGGGGGTTGATTCCTTGCAACAGACTTATCATTCTGTCACAGTTTACAATTCACTTAATAAAAATATTGTTGAAAAATATTTACGAGACGAAGATAAAATAAAGGATGGTGAAATATTAGATGATAGCTATGATTTGGAAGAGTCTTCTAAAGAAAAGCGTGTCCAAAATATGGCAGGAACGGGTGATGGTAAGCCTATTGCTAATCTTGAAATTGATACAAGTAAATCACGTTCTTTGAGATCTAAAAGGAATAGATAAGAAGCAATATCAATTTTTTCTAACGTTTGGATGTTCCGATGAGTTTTTCAAAAATCGATTCTGTGTAATATTTATCTCGTTTATATTTTTAAAATGTAAAATAGCCTTCTTAAAATCATGTTATTAAATTATTATAAAGAAAAACATTTTTTTATATTGCAAAAAGATAAATGACGATTATTATAAAATTATATAAAATTGATTATATAAATAAGTCGTATATTACGATTTTTATCACCCCTCTTCATTATTTATGTTTCGAGTTAAAAATCTCCATAATGGTTGATCATCTTACAGTTTCCTATTAATAACGGAAAAGGGTTGATTGAAAAAGATTTGATCAAGAAAAGAATAAGTATCAAAGGTTTGAGAAAATGTCCTATCGAAAAAAGAAAATGGTCAATTTAAAATAAAAAAAAATATTTTTAAATGATATTAATAAGGGTTTTTGATATATTCTCTTAATTTTTTTCTTATAATTTTAGATCATCCTGCATGTCTTCTCTTTTCAAAATTTTTTCTTTAATTTGTTATCTTTTAAATAATTTTTTACTTTCCCTTTTGGTTTTTAATATTACCTCTACCTTTACTACTTATTTTTTTTTTAATCTCATTTCATTTTTATATTTTTCTCACATTTAACCTTTTAATTTTTTAAATATTTTTCTTGTTATTTTTTTAATGTGGAGAATTTATATTGAAAATTTGTAAATAGATCTTGCGAATAATGATTACTCAAAATGAGTATAATTAAAAACAGGATTCTAATAAAATTGTAAATTACTAAAATTTTGTGAGTAATTATAATTAATCAATTTATTTTAAACATATTTATGCATAATCTTAAATTGTATAAACATCATAAAAGAATAAATAATAGAAGATTAAAAAAAGATAATAAAAAGAGGGCGAGTATTTATTTAAAAATAAAATCGAAGATTATAAGCAAGGAAAAATGACAAAAATCGATTAAAAATGACAAACAATTAGGAAAAAAATCACAACTGCAGTGTGATCCTAATTGGCAATAATTAAGGAGGGAAAATTTTTAAAAAATTATATCAAAACCCTTTTTAATTTTAAAAATTTATTGAAAAAATAGAATTTCTTTGATTCACTTTCTTAAACCTTTGTTACTTTTCCTATTTCGATCGGCCTTTTTTGTTTTTTGAATGAGAAATCCTGTATATAAGAGAATTCACTTTATAACTAGTGTTAACCTTAAACTATAATTTATGCTGTTCTCATCCCATCATATAACGAACAATTAAAAAATAATTTTTAATTTGGTTGATTTATTTTTCTCTAATGTAATATACTAGTATTTTATTTAACTGAATAATTCGGCCGGCTCCTTCTTATGAAAAATAATGATTGAATATTAATGATTTTCCTATGGCTATTTTTATTTTGCTTTTAAAATATGTAATATCTTTATATCATCTCTATTGCCAATAGAATGCAAAATATGGAAGAACTAAATATTTGGTTTGCGCTAATATTTAGTACCTGACTTATAAACAAAATAAAAACAATGACGTCACACCGTAAGCATGACGTAAGCCAAGCTTTTGGAAGCACTAAAAACTTATATTAAAACTATAGATTTATATTTATTCTGTTTGGTAGATGGTTTAAAGGGGGGAAAAATTTGTATAATAAAAAAATTAACATCATGCCAGAAAAATTCGTCAATCAATTTTGCCACCCACAAAAAAGTAACCAAATTGCTGGCCAATTAAAAACTATCACACCTTAAAGTGCAGCCATACTTTGGAAGCCATTAACTAAATTTTATATAAATTATTAGTGCGTAGTTAGTAGTAGTTTTAGTGCTTAAACCCGTTTGTTAGATAGTATAAGGAAAAACGCATTATTGGCAAAAAATTCCAAAATTTACAAATTGTAGCAGTGAATATCTGAGTGAGTTAGGTAATGCCTGATTAGTTCTTAATAATTCATTAATCAAAAATCAATTACGTCTTAATACACTTATTTTTCCCCGATAGATATTATTTGTTCTTTTCGGTATATTTAAGATATAGAAGTAAAATAGTTTAAATCTCATTTTTGAATCTAGTTATAATTTCAAAAATTTGATGTTCGCTCGCAATCCTAAGTATTAAGCAGTGACAAAGCACCCATGCTTTCTTGTTTAGTTTCTCTTAATTAATAAAATCTTTATGCTACGTTAAAATACTATTTTTTTTAGGTTAAAAAAATTTATATGGTGAAAGAAAATATATAATTGCTTTTTTTTGAAACAAAGAGAAAATCATGCTAATACATTTTTCATTTTACATAAGCGTTGGAGGAATGAAATAAAAAAAAATACTTTTTTAAAATAAATTTTTATTTTTAATAAAAAATTTAAAATATCTAATAATTGCAAATGTGTTAAAAATTTATTAAAAATAATTTAGTTCAAGAAGTGTTGATGTGAAGAAATTGATTGGAAAAAGAAAACCAAAACCAATTTTACAAACCTGAAATCAAAACTTAGATTCGTAATATTTCTATCGATAAATAGAGTGGCTCACTTGATGTGAATTTTCTAATTCTCTATATTGATGGTCATGCCTATTATTTCCAAAAGAAAAATTTGTTTAGAATGATAAAGTTTTTCCGATATGAATAATTTTTCGAAGGCAGTTAAACTACATGAAGAATCAATGGATCGCTTGTAATGATTCAATTAAAAACATTTGGCGAAAATCGAATTGAAAATATGATGTTCAGTGCGCAAAATATCATTCGAAATTTTACTCAAATACAAAGACGAATTATTTATAAATCTTACTAGACTAGTAATGTAAACATAGGGTAAATCATGGGAATTCCCAGGCAAATAACTTTGGGAATATTCCATATTTAATTTTTATAAATATAATATATGGAAGTTTCTTTTTATTTTTCTTGCCGTTTTTTATCTGTTATCATTTTTATCTTCAGCCAAATTTTAAATAAATTTTCCCTAGTGGAATAATATCTGGTTTAACATTATCTCTCATGTCATTACATCAATATTATTTCCTGTTATAAAACTTTAATTTTTTAATCAGTTTTTGCCATTTTCTTCTTTATAAGTTGACCGTAATAAAAAAATATGAGATGAAACTTATTTAGCCATTACAAATGGCGAATGAGCTAAAACACTTATCCACAATTTTGAGATTATGTTTGTAGATTATATCTTTCTTAAGCTATATAATTATCTTCCTCAGACAAGGGAAAAATATATTTATCTGATGTACCAGAATTAAAATTTATAACTACTCAAACACAAAAATGACCTTGAAAACAAGCAAATCTTTAGATCCATGTTATCTTGATAAACCTTGTCTATCCATGATGTGTCAACTGCCTCCACCACCCTACATAGGTTGAGCAATCATTTAAATATAAATTTAGTCAGAAGTAATTGCAAATCTTGCTAAATATCGGTGCAAGGAAGGTCTTTGTAAACGTTAATATTTCGCTATTAATATGGGGGAAAGCAGTTTGTACAAATCAATGGTTTCAACAATCCAATAAAATGGAAACAATCAATAGATATACATATCTTATTGAATGTATTTCTGATTCCATAGATGCTTTTTAATATCGTATATTACTCTTAATAAAAATTCATTTCTATAAGGACTTATATTAAAATAAGAATCTAGTTATAGAACAGATTCTTTGAAGAAAATATTTTCTTTCATTTGCCGATTGCAAGCCGATCAAAATTGCTATGAGAGCCGTAAAAATGGAATACAAGTTAAATCTCAATATATATGCCTACCATTATCTGTGCAATGATTTATTTTTACGTTCCTTATATATTTGTATCAAGCCTAGTTTTAGAATCAACCATAACCTCACAGAGTGCCAGTAGCTATACATATCTGAATTTCTTGTTTGTTAGAAGATGTTTACTATTCGTGGCCTGATTTTTTTATAAAGATAAATTAAATTGTTGGGAATTTAAACAGTTTTATTTATTTTACTAAAATGCCATGATAATGTGACCTCCAATACCATACGTTAAGGTCTAAATTAATTTTTATATTTTGAATGCTGTTTATTGCAAAGCAGAACAGGGGATATCCCCTTGTTAAAGTTTATTTGCCATATCATAATATAGCTGGACTTGGAGTACAAGAGCTGTACTGGATATAATTTAAATATATTCTGGATACGTTCCTAAAAAGCTATCATTTATAAAATTACGATTTAAATTAATGTATTTTTTATGTCGAGTTTATTAAATGAGGGATATTATATCATCTAGAGTAACTTGCTGCATGGCTGGTACATTTACCTCCCTTTATGACAAGCCCTAATTGGCCAGGTCATAATTTTTAACGAATATAACTTTGCCTCTGGATAGGAGGGGATATTTTTTTAATTTAATTTTATTAATTTGACTTAAAAATGACTTTTGCTTAATACTAAACAAAATTAGGCATTTTAAGAAAAAAAATTATTGAATGAAAAAACAAATATGTTTAAATATTTATTATATTTTAAAATAAAAATTTAAATAATTTCATCATGATTGTATAAATAATATAAATATAATAGTTAAATAGATTTTTTTAAAAAAGTGGCTAAAATTAGCAAAGGGAAAATATTATAAGGGGACGGAAGTTAAAAATTTAAAGTGAACCAGTAATTACTAGACTTTAAAGGGAATTGTAAAAAAAATATTCATAAATGGAATGGATATAAAAATAGAGAGAATATCAAGATTTAAAAAGTTTTTTAAAATGCAGTCAGGTTATACACCATAACCAATAGGTCTAAAAAATTTTGCAGTATAATATCAAATAATTGAAAACAAATAATATATGAGCAAAAAATATCATTTTTTTTTGTTTTTATCTGCTAATTGATTTTAAAATATTATATATATATCTCGATTAAAAAGTAGCAACCAATCCGATTTGTTCACGATACATTATAAAAATGATCTCTCAAATATGAGTCGCTGAAACGTGATTCGAGATTTCTGCGATTGGTGAATCGTTATTTATGGCGGAATTGACATGATTTTTCCTTAAATAAAAAAAAATGATACTAGAAATATGCTTCATTAAATTATTGTCAAAAAGATTTTTATAAAAAGTGTATATTAATCGAAGAGCGAAAAATTCATCCATTACTATGTTTAAAATTAGTGGAAATTTTTAATTTTAAGGGATAGTTTTGTTTAGCCACAACTCAAATACGACCAAAAGTAAAGTTAGAACATATAAAATAATCGAGCGACCAAATATAAAAGTTTCCAAAACCAAAAAGTAACAGATATTAATATAAAATATATACGTTCAATTCCATGTCAAATCGACAAATTTTTGGTTTTTATTGGCGACTACCCTTGGATTTCAATGAAACGCAGATATACAGTGTATGATTGATGAGTATTAATTTACCCAAATTTTAGATTTTGATCCAGCCCGTGTACGGAGATATTGACCCCTCAATTAAAAAAAAGAATTATTGGCAGTTTTAATAATCAATATCTCAAATATGAATATTGATCATAGAAACTACAAATAGCGCTTGACGTTTCATTAACTTTCAAATGATATTTTAAATATTTAATTTTGAATTTTTTAAAATATAAATTATCTTATGCTATTTTGAGGCTTAAAAAATTAATTCACATTTATTAATATTTACTTTATAAACACCTCAAAATAAGATTATTAAACTCATTTCGAAGGGGAAAAAATGTTTCTAGCTTGTTTTAGTAATACGAATTGTTTTTGGATTCTTTTCCTGCTATATGCTATCTAAAAATGGTATTTTATCCACATCAATTATGAATTCAGGAATAAATTTGTCACTTGCTGATATAGATAACAGATAAGAGAATTCGAGAATTATCCCTGAAATGCGGTCTTTTAGATAATAATAAAATCGATATTCTTGTCCATTCGCTGGAACATTTATATTGAGCAATTTAAAAGAATTGTATAAATATAAAAATGAGGATAGAAATTCAATAGGATGTAAATTCTTCATTACGATCCCTTTCAAATGCATGATAAATCTGTGTTTACAGGATTCCCCAGAATGGGTTAAAATAATGATTATTGCAGGGCATTTATATTATATGATTATAAACATTTAATTGTACCAAGCTTGGGTAATCCACCACATTATAGTTGCTATTTAGATACATGCTACTCATGTCCTGAAAAGATCAACTTTTAAAGAGTGGACATTAGGACTTAACAAAAAATCAGGTAATTAATAATTAAAATAAATTAGTAAATGAAATTTTAATTTAATAAAAGCTGAATTGATAAGATACTATTTGAAAGTTAATATTATAGGACGTCTAATGATGTTCGTAGTTTTCTATGATCTATGTCAATACTTAAGACTCATGGATGAAAATACCAATATTTCATATTTTTTTGAATTTGGTGGTAAATCTCCGCCACAGGACTGGATCAAAATTTAAAATTTGGAAAATTCATACTCATCTATGGTATACTGCATATACCGAGTTTCATTAAAATTCGAGGGTCGCCTCCAATCGCCTATCGATTCACATAAAAAAAAGAAATATAAAATTTTTTACAATATTGATTTTTTAAGTTCGGCTAGAGAACTCTTTTGGCAGATAGAACGAGCGTCTCTATAAAAAGAATCGTCTTCTGCTTCGAATAAGACAGGAGCTTATATACAAATAATAAAAAAGCATCTTAAAATAAGAAAATCTTTAAAAAATTATTGAATTAAAAATATATCGCTGTTTGATTATTATAAAGGGTTTCTGTTCTCTCAGATCCATTTATCAAGAAAGCGATTTAAAAAAATGCCATAAGTTTTGGCAAAATAAGATATTTGGACAAAAATTTTAGATATACATAAACTATTACAAATGCGAAAAAGTAATTTTTGAAAAATTGATAGAACCTTATAGTCAATTATAGTAAAAGTTTTAGGTTCATGTACAATAGTTAAAAAAATATTATTAACCCTTAAATACCAAATAATACTGTTTGTAGATGTATGCTGCAGCACCTTAAAATTAAAACCTGAAAAATATCGTCCTCTAATATACTTCGTATTCTAGTTGTCGCTCTTTTTAGCCAAAAATGTAACATTTTGTTTGAAGAATTTAGAATAAAAAATTACCTTATATTGACAAAATAATTATGTAAGGAATAATTCTGACAGTAAAATTAGTTAAATTTTTTATATCCAAGTGGGGTATGGGTAGAATGAAAAGGGGTTTTATGGTAATCCAATGTTATATTGATAAAGAGATAAAATTCAGACAAAGGGAGAGAGTAAAAAGCTAAGATAGATGAAGCTGGGGGTAAAGTTTGAGGATAGTATGTGAATTCGAAAGAAGGTTTGGGGTAAAATGGCCTAAGGAATAAAGTAAAATAAAATATCTATAAGGAAGCACATAATAGGTAAAGAGGAGAGAAAAAGAGTTTAAATGAAGATTAGGGCCCAAAAGTTTGGTGAAGTTGGGAATGGGGAGGGGGTATAAAATTTATATTTATAAGGAAATGAAGATCAGGTAAAAGGGGAGAGCAAGAGGTGGGAGGTCTAACTAAATAGGGTGGAGACAAAAAAGTTTTGAAATTCAAATAAAAATTATTTTTAATCAGCCATATCGTAGCCAGAGAATTAGATTATCAATATTTCTTAAAATGATAAAAATAAAATTTGGTATTTATTCTATATCCAGTTTTAAAATAATAAATTAACGATTTTTTCAGAAATATATCATGGTATTTTATATAATTATACCTACAAAAATACGAATCGAATAATTGCATTATTCGTATTCGTACGAATAATAAAATGATTATTCGATTCGAAAATTTTATTCGAATAATACGACTCGAATATCGAATAACAAATAATTCGTTTTAGGTGTATATATATAATAATTAAATGACGAGGAGCAATTAAATATACAAATCCGTGAAATTAAAAAAAAAATTAGAAAAGCATTTCTAAAATTCAAAATACAGATAAGGAATTTTTAAATTGCTCTCCTATAAAGTTGGAAAAAGTGGAGAGTATAATATAATTCTCAGGTGACGATATGTCCTAATATTAAATAAAAATATTATTTTGAAAAAAATCATTAATTTAATTAAAAAAGGTGAATATTTCTAACAGCTTTATTAACTCACTAAGCATTTTCTCCCTATCTTAACTATAACTGGTAAAACCCTCAAGCGACCTTTTTTTAGCGTTCATTATATTGTAGCTTTTAATTTTTTAAAAATTAAATATTTTCTATAATTGATATGATAAAAATAATGCTTTTTCGGTTCCCCTAAGAATATATTTAGGCCCTAACTTAATTTTGACCAAAAGTGGACAAGACTATAATTATCAAGCAGCGATAAAAAAAAATTCCCAAATATCTGTCGTCTATTTTTCCCTTGAGTTTTGAGCATATGCTAAAAACCTAGTTTAGAATAGATAAGCACTGATATATATTTGAAGGTATTTTTTATTGTATATTTATAAAAAGTGCCATTTTATTATTATTCTGAAAATATAGTTAGCTTTCAGACATCATAATTCATGAAATTTAGAAATCTATTTCTTATCGTAGATAAAATAATATACTTTTAGGCCATCATTGTAAAGAAAAAAAATATTTATAAAAATTAAAATCTAACCCAATAAGTTATTATCACCGGTGGTCGCTTCTAATTTGCTATAACTGCCCGCCCTCTTTAGCTCTTTATCCGAGTTCACAATTTTATTAATATTATTAGAATTGTCGCATACTCCATTTTTTTCGACGCCTTGCCGTTTCCTTCCTTTCATAAACTGGGAATATAAACTTTTACTCGTTTTGGTCTTGTTTATAATATCCATCTCTTAAAAAATGATAATTTTATTTTAGCTATATATTATATTTATGGTATATAACTAGAGGTGTACCGCAAAAATCCTATCGACCCTTTTCCCATAATTTGAAGGGGGTGTGTAATCCCTTCCAACGAGCCAAGGGGGTGTCTATAACGCCTCTGATTATAACTTAATTAGAGACCCTTTTGACAAAATTGTCTTTTGATTTTATGATAATAGAGGTTATTTATAAAATTTAATCAACATTTTTAATTTAACATATTAGCGTTTATTACTTAAAAGATGAAACATATTTTATAACATGCTACTATAACTATATAATATAGGTATAGTCTGTCTATCAAAAAAAAATTACCTGCTCAAATTTTAAATTAATAGTTCAAATGTCATAAAATAAATAAATTAAAAATAAAGTATAGAGGTATGTAAAAAGCTTAAAAAAATGTTGCTAAAACTGTCTACAGGCCTGGATATAAAACAACATTTTGATGGAAATAGTATTTTACACTGCATAATTTTAAATTTGGTTCTGGATATCTTAAAAACCTATTATTAATGAAAAATATTCTTTTCTCGATTATTTTTTAAAATAAAATAATACTTAGATAATTATCGCAATAACCTCTTTCATAAAAAACCGCAAAATCAAACTCGACCGTATCCCTCTCTTCTCTCACATCTTTTCCTTCTGTCGCTACATTTTGAGCCGTAAAATATTTCTTCTTCCTTTCGATACATCGAGTGTGATAATGCCTGGAGAGACAAAAACGTCTCAATTCTTTTGAAGAATCAAGGTAAAAGCCTTGGCCAGCGTTGAGAACAGATAAGGAATAAATTCCGCTATTCAATAAAAAAAATCTAAATCACTAAAAATTATAATTGTTATTTTTGGATTGTCACGTGAAAATAATTACAAAATAAAGTTTTGAAAATTTTTTCTGTGATTATAGTTTATAATATTTTTCAAAAGAATTTAAGATATAATTATATAAAATAAATTTAGGACATTGATTAATTATCGGGTATGATAAGAAAAAACAAGGTAGCAAATATCTTAAAGCAAGACAAAAATAATATTAATATATTTCGTTTTTATCGGTCCGAACAGGCATATCTCGATTTTTAGTTATAAATGAGACTGATAGGGTATAATTTTTAAATTTGCCTATTCTAAATGTCATAATGATGGATAAATTCATTGTTTAGTTGCCCCATAATTAGGTGTAGTGTAATGCATTGTTAGATTTAATATAACATATGGTTATTAGAGATATATCGGATCCAATTTCTCACCAATATTGGACCGGATCCAACTTCTTCATTTACTAGACCGGGTTCGGATCTTATAAAAAAATAGTTATTAATGTAGAATATAAATTTAATTCAATAAAAACATATCTCTGTTTGATTATCATGGGGTCATACGACCTTATTTGGTCGGGAGTGAGGGCCAAAATATTATTCTTAGAGGTCCCTTCCATCAAAACCAGAAAAAATCATTTTAAATATATTTTTTATGTAATAAAATAAAGTTCTATCTTTTTTGGCCCGGTGTTTTAATTATTCACTCTCCGAAATTCATATACCATCTTCATATTTAGGCTTATTCGTCTATTTCAATCTCTTTTTCTCTCTCTTTCTTACTTAATTCCCCTATCATATTGGATTTACTCTTTTCACTCTACCTAGGTTACTTAATATTTTTTAACTAATTTTACTGCTAGAATTACCTCCAAACAATAATTTTTTCAAAAATATTTCCCTAAATATTATAACTAATACTTATTATTGAACTATAGGTGACCTTTCGATTCAAAATACGTCAAAAAATATAATAAAAAAAACTTATAAACATACTAACTAAGAAAGGATATTTTTAGTCCATTTATAATTAATAAGGGGTGATATTTTTGCAGGGTTTACATTGTATAGAGTGCCTTTTTACGTTAATAAAAAAAATTATTTTTAAAACACTAGGCTGAGGATTGCAGTTCCATGTATTTTTTTCAACATTACAAGAAAGGTAAGATTTATATATATTTACTTGTTATATTTTCAATAGGGCAAGAAGTAGAATTATTTTAATATTTAAATCAATATCCAGATCTAGACTAGGTGAGAACAAATTTTGAGTTATAAAAGATTAAGTTACATAATATGCTTATATAAATATTCCTCGCTTTTTTTAATGTTTATCGAAAATATTGATTAAACTAATTATATCACTTTTGCAATAGAATTGGAACATCCAGTTTAAAATTTTTTGATAAACTGTTGGACCATATATATGGAGAGGTATACAGCAAGCTTAGGCTTTATTTTCTTTTTGAAATTATAATTTTGGTTGAGTAAATAATATTTTTTAACGGATTTATAAAATAATCTCTAAGTATTAGTATTCAATATGGAAATCAAATTATGTTTGTTTATTTGGGAACTTCTAGTCCCACTACTGTTTTATTATAGAATGACCATTTTTTAATATTTTTATTCTTTAATTTAGTAAGATTTCTTTTGAAAAAACAGGCTTATTGGTAACGTTTTAAAGATCTATGTGGAATTGCTATGCCCCAGCATACAACTTTAAGAGTTGGAGTTATTAAATGTTTTTGTGAAATAAATATTAATCTAACTCTCGCCATCTCGTATAAATTAACTCTGGCTCACATCAAGTCTTAAGTCCATATCAAGTTTCTCTTTAAAAACAAATATTGAATATAATTAAATCATTTAATATTCAGATCGGACAAGTTTTTTTTTTATCTAGTTGTATACTAATATAAAAAATAATATCCATTTTAACATTTTGACTATTTATTTTGACTCCATTCTTTAAATTTTCCAGAATCAAAAATGTATAATAATTATATTACTTGAATCATATCTTAAAAATTATTTATATATTGACTCTTTCTTAAGAAAAAAAATCAACATGTTCCTGAAAAAGGACACTGTTACTATAAAGCGGCATATTAATAAATTAAAACCATATTTGCCTTGGAGATCAGAACTTCAAATCTTTGCTCCATTTAAACCTTGTCTATGCATTTTCTCTCATTAATCTTTCTTTTGTAAGAGCCCCTTCTTATCACTTACTTTTTTAGTATATGGTTTGTTCCTCTTCTATTTCATAATCGGTACCCTATCATTCATCATTCACTTTTTCTCATCTTTCCTTATGGCCAAAGTACCTCTTATTCAAGACAACTAAACTATCAATAATATTATTTGTAGATATAATATATTCACTTGATGTCCTCTTTCCTCAATAAGCCTTTAAAAAATAGCCTCTTCAGATTGGTTGATTCAAAAATAGCTATTTCTCCGTGATTTGTCAAAGCCGCGATTACTTGGAAACGATCTAATTGGTTGTCCAAATTTTGCGAATTATTAGTTGTCGGCGTTTTAGTGGCAACAAACGAAAAAATTCTGCGGATCAAACTTCCTTCCATTGCTGTTAAACGGTATTTGTGACATGGTTTGAGCGTTGGTAAGTAAAAAGTCTAATAATCAATTTATAATAACATATTACAATTTTTTTAAAGAATCACAATCAATCGAGCTTGGTGACAGTATTTGTGAGGAGTAAGATTGAGTCGATTAGAAAAGATTTTGCGGGAAAATTAATAAATGAATTTAGAAAAATAAAGAGGAATTAACAGAGAAAAAATATATAAGTAAAATATATTATTTTTAAATTTTTTTTCCCATACCTTTCCAATGAAATTAAAATATTCGATAGTAATATAATTCACTTTGATCTGTTCTTCGCTGGCGACCAACAGCCTATATTCGGTCATTGCTTCGTTCATGCTGTTGGATAATGATCTGCCATTGTGATGATGGGAATTGTGATTAGAGTTCGATTCTATGACTCGAATATGAATCACGGGAGCTCCGTGCTTCAATTGAATCTCTTTCAAGGCTTTATAAGTCAGGGTTTTATTTCCTTAAAAAAATGTATAATAAGTTTAAATGTTGAGATAAATAACTTAGTTTTAAAGTTATAAATAAAATGGTTCTATCTAAATAAAAGAAGGATTCTTTTTCTTCTATTTTCAATCCTATCCTTCTTTCTTTAAAAACAACTATAGTTCGCATAATGATAGCAACTATTAAGTATCTTTTAACTTTTTTTTTTGAATAACCAAGTAAAGGTGCATTATATATCAATTGGTTTAAAAATTGAAATATACTTATTGTAATGTAACAATTTTTAAATTTCACACATAGAGAAAATGGCTTTAATTAGTGTCATAGTATCTACTAAATTTAAGATAAAAAAAGGCACTTTTAATCTCAATACAAACAAATAGAACGCCTACAGGTATTTATTTTCACTTGCATAAAAATTTTTTTTTCAATTCCTAATATTTACATTTATCCCAAAAACATGATTATCTTTCTAATTGATTAATAAAATAAAATGTGGGTAGAAAAAGAAAATTCCTAATATTTACATTTATCCCAAAAACATGATTATCTTTCTAATTGATTAATAAAATAAAATATGGGTAGAAAAAGAATGATTTTCTTATATTATTCGTAATCGGGTAATCACCGTTTTTAAAAAATTTTGTGAACCTAAATACAATGTAATTGGCAGCTGAAAATACATTCTATAAATTTGTTAAAAGATCTTGTAATTTAATTTTATAAAAATATATAAAATCAGATACCGCTGAAAAGATTTAAAGTATCAATTAAAATATGATAAATTTATAATACCTTGAGAGGAATCATTGTCCCATAAAGATTCGATCATATAAACAAAAATTCTTCCAGAATTGGTTCCGACCCACAAGGTGGTCACTTGCTGGATAGGTCTCGAAGAGTTGGGTAAACTCGCCAGGGCTGCAACTGCTCCTTTCCAAAAGTGGGCGCATTTAACGAGACCCGAGTTGGCGGTAGAAAGACTTTCCCCTTTATTATCGTTACTTACTTCTCTATTAAATTTGGGAGAAGAGTTTTTAAGGTTAGATGGGGGTATTACACCCCTTGATTTGTTATCAAATATAGGAAGTTCCAAATTTCCGGATTTCTTATCGTTCTCGGTTTCATTAAATATCTTGCTGGATTTTATTGGGGTTTTGACAATATTGGATAAATCTTCGACAACATTTTTAGGGAGGAAAAGGGTAGGGCGAGCTTTAATACATCGTTCCTCGCCAGAATCTAGCCATTTGCTCCCCTTTCTGGATAAATTTTCGGAATCAACTTTCGAAATTGAAGTGTTATTAAGCGAAGAATTTTTGTTGATCCTTTTGCGGGCGGAGAACTGGCGAGTTAAAGGGGCCAAGTTAGGACTAAAATATTTATTTATAAAAAATGATAATGATTTTTCAATTTTTTTTTCGTTTGTGTTTCTTTCTTCTCTCTTTGTTTATTTTATTTAAAAAAATTACTTATCGGCAATTTTATCTTGTTCATTTGGGATAATAGGGATTTCTTTTCTCAGTCTTCTAAGACGTCTGAAAGATTGTCTTAGAGATTTTTTAAGGGATTTCTTCATGGATAAAGCACTGTCACCCCCTGTTATCATATCTGAAAATATTTTAAAAAATAATATTATACTTAATTTTTTTTAAATTATATTTGGTTTAAAAAAAATTGAACAATTTATATATTTATTTATGAAATCGAACTTCCCATATGTAAACACTTCTTATATTTTCCTACTATATTTCTTATAAAACACAAATTTTATATGTCAAAAATATTTTATCCATTAATTCAATATCCATTTCTTACTGAACAATTTATAAATTACTGTAGATTCCTATACAAAGTATACTTTATATGACATAGTTTTAAATATTTAAGCAAGACGTGAAAAGGCATTATATGAAAAAGAAAGAAGAATATATACGGTCCTCAAACATTACTCACTTTATAATTTATTTTCTCCTACCCTATAATTTAAAATCCAAAAATTACATTTGGAAAGCTTATTCAATTACATTTGGAAAGCTTATTCGAAGACTAAATTTGTATGATTAATTCTTTCCCTTTCCCTTCCTTCCTTTTTTTCATTTCCTCTCGTTTCACCCTTTCCTTACCGTTGCTAAGACTCAGCGTTGTTCTACAAAAAAGGGCCGTCCCGGTTGGGTTGTTATAATCCCAACAAGTGAATCCATGTGCCGTTCCGGTACAAATTAATCCCATGGAAGGACAAAGGCTCAAAGTAGTAATAGCGGCTGGTGGCCATATTTGACAACAGGATACGACAATTCCGGAGACGATTGATGGTAATAATGGTTTCGCGGTCATATTTATATGATAAAGTGACGTGTGACCCTTCCAAACAAAGTTTTGGGCTCTGAAAAAGGGAAAGTGTTTAATTTTTAAAAATATAATTTTGAGGCTGATTTGGAGAGCTATTTACGATGAGAAATACGCTATCAAGAAAACATAAACTCATTCATGAAAAATGAATTTAAAATTGTTATTTACCGTAAAATAACCGAAACTATGGACGCATTATATAAAAAGTTTTGAATATTTCACACAAAAAAATAACAGATAAAACGGAGCTTTGATCATTTCTTATCAAAGTAATCTATCGGCAGATCATGGTACAAATTATGTTTTTTCCTTCTTTTATAATTTTGTCTTTAAAATAATACTTTGCATTCTTTCGACAATAATTGTGAAAGAGCTTGATATAATTATTGGTAGAAATCTTACATTATCGAGCTAAAGAAGGATTATGGGAAAAATCTGGGAAATTGTTGCTACGAGTATCAATTCCTTAGAGGGAAAGGACTCCTCAACTCCTTCGTACCATGGCCATAAAATATTTCTCAGATCGAGCATGGTCCTCTTGAAAAAGTGAATCGCGATATCGAATTAAGAATGAAAAGGTTAAAAAATTGAGGTCTATTAGATATAAATAATACCTCATAAGATGAAAACAAACCATCATGAGCCATTTTGGAATAGTTTGTAAATATAATTGGTAGGCTAAAATTTAACGTTTTACCCAGAGATGCAAACCCGGCAAAATTTTTGCCGGATTCGGTTTAAAGTAAAAAATAGGTGGGTTCGGTTCAGGTAAATATTTTTGAACACGGGTTCAGCTCGGGTTTAAGAATTTTTAAATTGATAAAAAAAAATTCTATATTTAAATAATAATTAAAAAACTAGACATAAATTTTACAAAAACTGCCCTATATCTTTGTTTAACAATTTTTAAGTTAGATTTTTTTAAATTAACAAATCTTATATAATAATTTTTACTTTGACTTGTTCGCTTTCATTTTCCTCTAATTAATAATCTTTGAGAATAAGTAAAAAATTAAAAATAAATGGCGTAAATGAATTTAATTGTTTAAAATTTATTAATATTCCTATAGGAATTTTTGAGAATAAATTTTAAAAAATTTAAAAATGGCGTGAATGAATTAAGTTGTTTAAAATATATTAACACTTCACTTTATTGGAAATGTGAAAATATTATAAAATCTCAATTAAATTATTAATATTTGTATTTGTATTTATAATTATACAAATATCTTAATATATGATTTTAAAAAATACACTGAACCCGGTTGAACCCGGGTCTAAACAAAATTCCCAGGTAGGGTTTTGAAAATTTTATAAACAGGGTTTAAGTTCGGTTCAGATTTTTTTCAAAAACCCGGGTTTTTTCTCCGGGTTCGGGTTCGTTTCGAATCCCTTTACTCTATCCTCCACAGTTTGATAGAAGTGACTACGTAAAAAATCTTTGGGATTATTGAGTGGATTTTTTAAAAAAAGTTAAGGAAAACTAGGGTGCACCGATCATAATTTTTTCACAAATCCTTTATTTATTTCAAGCATTAATACTAATTTTAATATTGATTTATTTTGTCATTATTTTTAATAATATTTATGGAGTAATAAAAATCTGTGTATAAATTTTTTTAAAACGCGTTTTAATCAGAATATTCACTTATTCCAGTTCTTAAAAATCAAAAAAGTCTCAAAGCTTTAAAATTCCAAAAATATGCATGTTCTATAAATTTGTAAAAAGGTTTTATTCATAAGATATATCAGAGACCTGCAGAGGTACCATTTGGCCTGGCCGGATTTTTTAAAATCAAATAATGTAACTCGCCATTATTAGCTATAAAAATTAAAAATAATAATTAAGAAAGATCCTGGCCGGGCCTGAAAATATAAAACCCGGGTCGAACCTAAAAAAATCCGGACCGTGCCGTGCAAATGGTACCTCCTCTGATATAGATTATTTGTATAACTATGTATCTTTATTTGAATAAAAGTAAAAACAAATAAAAAAATAATGAAATTAAAATTATAATGGATATTTTTCTAGAGCCTCAAGTTTATGTGATAATAAGTTTCTCCTATGAGGTCTGTGTTGTTAAACGGCTCAATTGGAGCCGATTTTAAAAACGATTAACTCAATATTTTATCCAGAAAAATATTACGCAAGCTTGAAGATTTTGTTCATAGCTGGCACAAAGGTTTGGACATCTATTTGCGAAATCTCGAGGTTTAGGGAATATCTTTTTGTGTATATTGAGTTAGCCCATTTTGAAAATCGGCTCAAATCGAGCGGTAGCAATGGAACACCTGTTGCAGGAGATGCCAAATACTAACGTGCAGTGTTTGCCAAAGTTGGAAACTTTTGATCATTAACCCTCCAATAAACAAGAATCGATCGGAGATAAAATATTGATATCGTTGTTAATATATCACAATTTTATTCGCATGATTTTTATTTACTATAAGTTCTTTCTTAATATAAACGAATAAATAATAGGCAAATAAAAATATATAAAAATTTTCGATAATTTTCTTTATATAAGTTTATCAATAGATATCGTTAAAAAATTTAAAAAAACCATTAAATATATTTATTTTTTTAGGGTGAAGATTTATTAGGTGAAAGGGAAATTATTCAAAAATAAATAATAAAAATATTCATAAAATCGGTATCGGTTAAATTTTTTAAAATATATCGACCGATATATATTTTTTCTTAAAAATCCAATATCGGCTCCGATCCGATATTCGTCACAGTCCTAAAGAAAAGAGTAGAAAGGGAAAAAAGGAAAGGAATAAATGTAAACATTTTTAAAAAGGTAAAAAAATTGAATCAAAATGTTTTTGTAAACCTTTCATCAACTAAGTCTGCTTTAATCCAATGATATTCAATATGAGCTCTATCGTCATTTACTTCTTCTCCATCTAGAAAAAAATATTAAATAAATATGGTTAAGATTATAAAATTCATAATCAAATATTCAAGAAAGGAAATTCTTTATCCATTATATTTTTATAATTTTAATAATCTTGAATTGTGGTTTTTTTCAGGGATCCAAACCGAAACGAATATAAGTTAGGATTAAAATATCGGTTCAAGGTTCAGGTTCGGTTCGTGAAAAAGAAAATTATCGGTTCGGTTCGAACCTCTAAAAACCGGTTAGAACCCTTTTTTTAGTCAAACCTACATTCGAATTATGTATAGGGAAGAATACTTTTTTTTATTTCATCATTAAAATATTTTTATTAATTACACATTATAAACTAATTTTTAATTTATAAATATAACAAATAAATATCAGTGATTAATTTTAATAAGAACAATATAACTTTATTTACTTAAATTTTTTAAATTAAGTTATTAATATATTTTCAAGATTTGTTTTCACTCATATTACATCTATAAGGAGATAGTATAAATTTAATTGTTGAAAAACATCTTTCCACACTAACTTGGGTAGCCAGCACTGCCAATATGATATCAGAAAATTTACTTAATTCTGAATATCAATTACTCTGATTTCTCCAATAGTCTAAATATATTCTTTTTATTTAACCTAGGTTCTTTAGAAAATTTAATTAAAATATTCCTAATATTCTCCGATTTTTGTAACACATTTTGTTTGTTTCCATCTTTTTTAAGACTTTCTACCAAATCCTCTTCAGATAAATATATATTAACCGGCGTTGATTCACCTTCACTAGAATCCTTCACTCTTATAACAAAGTTTAATTCCATACAGATAAATATATATTAACCGGCGTTGAATCACCTTCACTAGAATCCTTCACTCTTATAACAAAGTTTAATTCCATAATTTAATAATATGCTCTCTAGCCTTGGTTCTTTCTTCTTTAGTCAGAAGTACTTGATATTTATATAATGAAAATTAAAAATATAATTAAAAAAATCTTATTATTTTTTATAAATAGATAGAAAAATATATAAGTAAAATAAATATTAATTAAGGTAAATAAAATTATTAATTAAATTTATATAAGATATAATATAATATTTTTAAAACATACCTTAAATCTAGGTATAGACATTGTTGTTTAAAAGTTGTGCCTCTCTAAAATTCATAGCATATATCATTGAACCAGCAAAGGGTGAAGTAAAAATAGAAATTTATAATTTAGCCATATGCCATAAAAATCTCCTAAAGTTAGCTGCTCAAGTTGCAAGTTTGGTAGCTACTAATTGGTTTTAGGATATTTATCAACCCTATAAATGCTTCCCATCCCAAAGCTGAAATAAAGTTCACTTTATGATAGGTCTGCAATTAAAAAAGGCCAACTCAGTACAAGCATCGATTATTATTATTTTTATCTAGTTTTACTGATATTGTTTGTCCTTTTAATGCCTTTTCTATTGTCTGTTGGCTTGATGACATTTTACACTTTTTTATTTTATTAGGCTTTTTGTCGTGATATTTTGTTAATTTTATCGAATTCTAGATGGTGATTTCTTTTTATGTGAAGCTCAAGATTTATGATGGCCTTTCATATTTATTTGACAATCAGTAATATTACATTTTGATCTGTTATTTATAATACTATATGGAAATAATTTATATATTGGATTTAATTTTCTCTAGGCATTATAATTTATAAACTTAAAATATTTAAAAAAAGATATAAAATGGCAATATACTAAAGTTTAAAAAATTATGACTGAACACTTATCAATCAAATGTGGATAATAATCTTTAAAACAATTCGAATATAATTAAAATTTATGCAATATATTAGTAATAACTTACACATTATTTTATAAGCATAAAATCATGAGGCTCGAACCGGCTCAGAACATTTTAGCGGTTCGGTTCAGGTTCAGCTAGAATTTTTTTTAGCAGTTTAGGTTTGGTTTAGGTTCGATAAAAAATACCCGTTTTTAGTGGTTTAATAATTCGGTTCAGGTTCGGTTTGGATCCCTGGATTTTTTGGCAATTTACTATAATTTTTTTCTGTTTCTAGTCCATTCTTTGACATATTTTCTCAATTTTCTTCTTCCATTTTTTATTATCCTTTTTTAAATAATTTGTTTATTTTCTCTGTCATCTTTCTTCAATTCGTTATTTTTTGCCATTTTTAACCATTCTTTTCCCCTTCATCTTATTATTACTTTAAAATTAAATAAACTTGAATTACAATACCAAACTATAAATGAATTATTATATATAATCTAGACATTTGCAGGCCCAGAAGTCTAGTTGGAACTTGCTTATAGATATTTTTTTTTAAAATCCGAGGATGATTTAAAAATTAAACAAATTCCGAACCAAATTAATATTTTTATAACCAGGGAAAAGATGAATTAATTTCCTGCAATTGTAATGAGATATATTAAAAAAGGAAAAAGAATATAATAGTCAGTGAAAATAAATAATTTAAAAAAATTTTTTTTTTTAAAGATTATAGGATTATAGGGCTAAGAAGACAAAAAGGATTAAAAAATTGAGAAATATTACTTATAGATAAATCTGGGTTTATTATGTGGCCTAGCCGATTTGTTATTGGTAAATCCTAAACTATGTGATATCATATGGTACAATTAAAATATATTATAAATTAAGCTAGAAAATGGGTTATATAAAAGTAATCGTCTATAAGTATTAGTTTAATATTGATATATTTGATCACAAAAAAGTGTTCTATTCTTGAGGCAAGGTCAATTATTATTGTATATATTTTCTTTTCCAGCTTTTTCTTCATATTTTTTTAAATAATACTTTATGTTTTTATAATCACGTGATTTTAGTTTTAAACTTTCAGTTCTTTGATCAAGTTTAAAAATTTTAATTTAGAAAATTAATAATCAATATACATGGTTACATGTCAATACCGCGAAATGTATTATCGCGAATGCATTACAGCGAATGTTGATTACCGCGAAAAGATATTATAGCGAATAGTGTTGTTAAATGGCTCGTTTTGAGCTGATTTTTAAAAACGGCTAACTCAATATTTCGTCCAGAAAAATATTACGCAAGCCTCAAGATTTTGCTCATAGAAGGAACAAAGGTCTAGGCATATATTATCGAAATCTCGAGGCTTAGGCAATATTTTCCTGGCTAAAATATTGAGTTAGCCGTTTTAAAAAATCGGCTCAAAATGAGCCGTTTAACAACACTAATAGCGAATGCATTATCACGAATATAATATTGCGAATGCATTATCTAGCGAATGCATCATAGCGAATGTATTAGAGCGAAGAGATTATCGCGAATGCATTATAGCGAACGAATTAGCGCGAATGCATCAGAGCGAAAACAGTATCGCGAATGATACATTATTGCGAATGCATTATAGCGAATATGCATTATAGCGATATTAAAGCGAATGCATTAGCACTAATATAATACCGCGAAAGTGTTATCGCGAATGTATAATAGCGAAAGCATTTTCGCGAATGCATTGCAGCAAAAGCTTTACCGCGATTGCATTATCGCGAATGTATTACCGCGAAAGCATTATCGCGAATGCATTCTAGCGAATGAATTATCGCGAATGCATTATTTTAAATGAATTACATCAGTTGCAATATCGAGAATGGAGTTTGATGAAAATTACAATTTTATATTTATCAGCCTTTAGACAGACTTGGTTGAACCTAGAAATTAATTTTTTTGAAAATAGGGCTAAGGCTTTTAATTTTTTTAACTCAAAATATATAAAAAAAATTCTAAGCAATAAATAGATTAGGATTAGGGTAAAGAAATTATTTTTATATTAATTTATTGTTTAAATATGCGTTTAGTTATATTTTTCAATTAAATTTTTGGGACAGGAAGACCTAAAATTTAAAATAAATAAAAATTTTTTATGGAGCTTCTGCTGAAATAAATTAAATTTGCAAGGTGCTAAGGAAAGTCTTATTTAAAACATTGAGCCAAACAGATAATTAGCTCGAAAATCATTTATATTTTAATTAGTGAGGGATTAGTATTGTGATAAGCATTTTTTGATAATAAATTTTTATAAAGTGTTTTCTTATTGCTTAATCAAAAAGATAAGGCCAAAGTTTATCACAAGACATGAAACAATATTCAGCATCATAAGATTGTAGAATTGAATGGCTACACATCTTAGAACTTAATTCATTTAATCTCTGATGATGAAATTGCGAGTATTGTGACTAAGGAATTGGGAAAACAATATAATAATGATTTCCTATTGATTCTTGTGATTCCTGATGGGTTTTTTTTCTAGTTATGCGATTAAAAACAAAAATTTTATAAATGGATATAGAAACATATTAAAAAGTTTTAAAAGCAAGCATAGACGGATATTATATTAATTAAATTAACAGAAGCGAGCTTATTATCTATGATTCCACTTTCTACAGTCGAAAGCAAGGCCCTATAAAAAAATATATTAGCAAATATCTTTCTTAGGAAGCGTAGGTCATGAAAATCCTTATGTTATGCTGGGATAGAAATATTGCTTTAATCGGGAAATTTTTTTTATTAAGAAGCTACCCACCTCCCAAGGTATAATTATTTTCGAACCTATGATTTCGACAGAAACTGATCTAGCCAGCCTGGTGCCTACTCTATGAATATTATACAGTATTCTAATGATCTTTTAACTAAACTTAATTTTGGTTTGATAGGTATTGTTTTATTTTTTGTTATTATTTACATTTAAAATCATTAATTGAGTGAGTTTTATTAAATTTAAAAATCTGATTTTGCCAGAAAAACACCAATAAGTGTAGAATTTTTAGTAATTTGTTAATTTTAGAAAATTCAAAAACGGTTTAGCATAAAAATAGGAGAAAAATAATTAGACAAAAATTAGGCATAATATATCGTTACATAATAAATATATATAAAATTATTATATAATAAAAATTTTAATAAATATGAATATATAATAATTAAGGCTAGGCTTATTTTTGCATAACCTTGACGTGCTATGAG